GGCTCAGAGCTCCTGAGCTGGCTCTGCCCTGGCTCTGCCCATGCCCATCCCTGGCTCCTGGAGCAGCTGGTGCAGTGAGCTGGAGCACAGTGAAAATCACCCATTTCCTGATGAATTGGGGCTATTTTGGGAGCACTTCCCAGCAGGCTGCAGCACCAGGAGGTGCTGGGGAATGTCAGCTCCCTCCCAGGGAACATCCTGGAGCTGGGCCCTGGAGGTGCAGCTGGGCCCTAAAGCCATGGGTTTGGGAGCAGGCTGGAACTGGGGATTTCAGCATCCTGACCCAAACAAGGAGCAGCCTGGAATTGGGGATTTCAGCATCCTGCCCTGAACAAGGAGCAGGCTGGAATTGGGGATTTCAGCATCCTGACCCAAACAAGGAGCAGCCTGGAATTGGGGATTTCAGTTCAGCATCCTGCCCTGAACAAGGAGCAGCCTGGAATTGGGGATTTCAGCATCCTGCCCTAAACAAGGAGCGGCCTGGAATTGGGGATTTCAGCTCTCTGATCCTGCCCTAAACAGGAGCAGGTTGGAATTTGGGATTTCAGCATCCTGCCCTGAACGAGGAGCAGGCTGGAATTGGGGATTTCAGCTCAGCATCCTGACCCAAACAAGGAGCAGGTTGGAATTGGGGATTTCAGCTCACTGATCCTGCCCTAAACAAGGAGCAGGTTGGAATTGGGGATTTCAGCATCCTGCCCTAAACAAGGAGCAGGCTGGAATTGGGGATTTCAGCATCCTGCCCTGAACAGGAGCAGGCTGGAATTGGGGATTTCAGCATCCTGCCCTAAACAAGGAGCAGGCTGGAATTGGGGATTTCAGCTCAGCATCCTGCCCTGAACAAGGAGCAGAAGGAGCAGGCTGGAATTGGGGATTTCAGCATCCTGCCCTGAATAAGGAGCAGGTTGGAATTGGGGATTTCAGCTCACTGATCCTGCCCTTAACAAGGAGCAGCCTGGAATTGGGGATTTCAGCATCCTGCCCTAAACAAGGAGCAGCCTGGAATTGGGGATTTCAGCATCCTGACCCAAACAAGGAGCAGGTTGGAATTGGGGATTTCAGCATCCTGCCCTAAACAAGGAGCAGCCTGGAATTGGGGATTTCAGCTCTCTGATCCTGCCCTAAACAGGAGCAGGTTGGAATTTGGGATTTCAGCATCCTGCCCTGAACGAGGAGCAGGCTGGAATTGGGGATTTCAGCTCAGCATCCTGCCCTGAACAAGGATGAGACTGAATTTGGGATTTCAGCTCAGCATCCTGCCCTAAACAAGGAGCAGGTTGGAATTGGGGATTTCAGCATCCTGAACCAAACAAGGAGCAGGCTGGAATTGGGGATTTCAGCTCACTGATCCTGCCCTAAACAAGGAGCAGGCTGGAATTGGGGATTTCAGCTCACTGAGCCTGCCCTGAACAAGGAGCAGCCTGGAATTGGGGATTTCAGCTCAGCATCCTGCCCTGAACAAGGGAAACAGCTGCAGGATCTGGGAGAAGGTGAGAGGCCATTAGGGAGATGTTAATCACCTTCAGGAGGAGAAGAATCCCGAGGAGCACAGGCATGGGCAGCCTCACCACTTTAATTACAGCCTGCTGTTAAACAGGGTTTAATTAAACCAGAGCAAAAAACATGCAGGCTTGAGCTCGAAACCAGGCTCATGTCAGCTTTTAATTAATTAGAAGAGATTGAAGCTAAAGCAAACAAAATTAAGACAAAGCCATTGAGCAATGGGGCTGTGTCATTTGTGACAGGCCACTGCAAGTTTGGGCTAAAACTGGAACCCTTTGATGGCTTTAATTTGGTTTTCCAAAGTTGAGGAGCCAGGATTCCAATGGGAGAAGTTCCTGCACCAGGGGCAGGGCACAGGAACCTGCCAGGAGCAGGAGCTGCGGGTTAAAACCCAGAACAAGGGACAGAAACCAACAAATTCTCCTTTAAACCCAGTCCTGGGTGATGGAGGTGGGAAAAAAGCAACAGCGGAAGGATGTAGAGCTGCTGGAATAAATCCTGAGGAGACCCCAGAGCTGCTGCAGGGCTGGAGCCAGGCTGGGAGAGCTGGGAATGTTCCCCTGGAGAAGGGAAAAATCCAGGGAATCCTCAGAGTCCCTAAAGAGGCTCCAGGAGAGCTGCAGAGGGGCTGGGGACAAGGGACAGAGGGACAGGAGCCAGGGAATGGCTCCCACTGGGAAAGGGGAGATTGGGCTGGGATCTTGGCAAGGAATTCCTGCCTGGGCTGGAATTCCCAGATTTGCTGGGGCTGCCCCTGGATCCCTGGCAGTGCCCAAGGCCAGGTTGGATCCACCTGGGACAGTGGGAGGTGTCCCTGCCATGGATGGGGTGGGATGAAGATGCTCTTTAAGCTCCCTTCCAACCCCAACCAGTCTGGAATTCTGGGATTTTGGGATTCTGTGGTGCTTGGCAGAAAGATGAGGTTGTGATGGGACCCCTCACCTGGGAATACAGCTGGGGATCCTCACTGGGATACAGCTGGAATTTGGGATTTCAGCATCCTGCCCTGAACAAGGAGCAGGCTGGAATTTGGGATTTCAGCACCCTGCCCTGAACAAGGAGCAAGCTCTGGCAGCTCCAGCTGAGATCTCAGACACCAAAGCTGGGCAGAGCAGAGCAGGGGGGGCTGGGGGAAGTTCAGAACTCCTGGCAGGAAAGATTTGGGGGGCCCTGATCCCCTGGGAATGAGCTGGGGCTCCTCCAGAACAAAGTCTGGGGGGAAACACCACGGGCAGGATGGGGGAAATAAAGAACTGGAGGGGCTGGGGCAGGGATGGAGGGGCTGGGACAGGGATGGAGGGGCTGGGGCAGGGATGGAGGGGCTGGGGCAGGGATGGAGGGGCTGGGACAGGGATGGAGGGGTCCCAGGCAGGGATGGAGGGGCTGGGCTCTCCATGGAAGTGTTTGAGACAGGGATGCAGGAGCTGGGCTCCCCATGGAGGATTTTGAAGCAGGGATGGAGGGGCTGGGCTCCCCATGGAGGATTTTGAAGCAGGGATGCAGAAGCTGGGCTCCCCATGGAGGATTTTGAAGATGCAGGAGCTGGGCTCTCCCAGGCCATGGTGGGAGCAGGGATGTGAGTGGTGCTGCATCCCAAACAGAGCAGAGCCAAGCAGGATCCACAAACCCTGGGAACATCCCAAGCCCTCCTCCCTGTGTGACCCCACAGTGCTGCCTGCTGGCTTCCAGCCTTGGCCAGGGAGGAATGTGGGATGGAGCCAGCAGGACAGCAGCACCTCAGCCCTGCCACAGCTGCTGAGAGTGCACAGGGCAGGGCTGAAGCCCCAGGGCACAGAAGGGGGTGTTTGCCACGCTCACAGTGCCCCCCTGGCAAAGCACTCCCGAGGAATCCCCTCCCAAGGGCTCTCCCAGCACAGGGGGACCCTCAGTGCCTGCCCCAGCCCTGGCAGGTTCCCCAGGGCTGCTCCTGAATGAGCAGAACACAGCAGCTCTGCCAGGCCTGCCTGCCAGGGCTGTGCTGTGCAGGAAGGGCAGGCAGTGTCTCCTCCTCCTCCTCCTCCTCCTCATTGAAAACTGCCCAGCTGGAGCACCCTGCCCGTTCCCAGGGGAGCCAGCCCTCCCTGGGGCTCTGAGGATGTGCTCTGGGACCTATGGGACCCCAAACCCTTCCCATTCCCACTCCCACTCCTGTTCCCATTCCCTGGACCCCTCTGCTGTCCCAGGTTGCTCCAAGCCCTGGAGGGACATGGGGTGTGGGAGAGGCAGGAGATCCACCATGGAATGGATCCACCATGGAATGGTCCCACCATGGAATGGAATTGTCCCACCATGGAATGGAATGGCCCCATCATGGAATGGATCCACCATGGAATGGAATTGTCCCACCATGGAATGGAATGGTCCCACCATGGAATGGAATGGTCCCACCATGGAATGGAATTGTCCCACCATGGAATGGAATTGTCCCACCATGGAATGGAATTGTCCCACCATGGACATGGAATGGCCCCACCATGGACATGGAATTGTCCCACCATGGAACAGAATTGTCCCACCATGGAATGGCCCCCTGGGAAATCCACAGCTCAGCCCAAAGGTGGCTGGGTCAAGCCAAGCACAGGTGCAGAGTCAGACTGGGGTTAAATAGGGGTTAAACACGGGTTAAATAAAGGTTAAACAGGGGCTCTGGATTGCTGTGGACAGTGGGAATGGTCCCCCCGTGGGGACTGTCCCCATGGTAGGACACACTCACACCCAAGGTAAGGAGCAGCTCCTCCAGGGAGTGCTGCCCAGCTCAGCAGGGACTGCTGAAGGTTTATGAGCATTTTTCTCAGCCTCAATGCTTCCACCAGCAGAACAAGTCCTCTTTGCTCATCCACAGTGGGTGGCAACGAGACCAACCTGCCCCTGCCCTGCTCACCTGGGGCAGGTGTGTGACTGACCACAGCTGCTCTGCCCATCTCAGCTGGCAGCTGTGGAGCAATCTGTTCTATCTGACACATTCTGTTAACCTGACACCATCCTGGGGGTCACACCGCCCCTCCAGCCCTTGGCACCGGAGCTGGGCATTGCCTGGTGGGGCTGGCAAAGCGCCCGCCTGGAGCACCCCTGCTTCTGGGAGCCCCACCCCATCCCAGAGCTGCTCCTCCCCTCCCAGCCACCCTGACAGGGGTCCCCCGGGGCAAGGACGAGCCCGCGCCATGCCGCACCGGGCCCCTGCCCGCCCCCGCGGGGCTCGAACCCGCAATCCCCCGGCCCCGCGCCCGCCGCGCTGCGCGCCGCGCCACAGGGGCCGCGGGGCCGCGCAGTGCCCGCCGCGGGCAGGGGGCGGCGGCCCTGACTGACAGCTCGGCCGGCCAATGGCGCGGGGGCTGCGGACCAATGGGCGCGCGGCACCGCGGGAGGGGCGGGGCGGAGAGGAGCGGAGAGCGGGGGGCTCCGTCCGCGGGTGGGGGGGCGATGCCGCGCGCGGGGCGGGGGCGGCTCCCGCCGCCGCTCCCGGTGTCCCCCCCGCCGCCCCCCGCCGCCGGCAGTACCTGCTCGAAGCGGGGCTTCCCCAGCTGGAACGGGGGATAGTCCGCCGGCTCCGCCATCCCGCAAGCGCCACTTTAAACAGCCTCCCCCGCCGCCGGGCCCCGCCCCCCGCCGGCCCCGCGCTGATTGGCTGCGGCCAACCGCAGCTGCCGCGGGGCACGCTGGGACATGGAGTCCGCCGGCCACCGCCGGGGGCGGGGCCGCGCCGGCTCCGGCAGCCGATGGGGAGCGCGCCGGGCGCGGGGCACCATGGGAAATGTAGTCCCACGGGAAAGGGGAGACCCAGAGGGTGGGAAGGGCTGGTGAGCGGGACAGGAGAGGAGAGTCTCACCTTAATTGTGTAATAGACTGAGCTAATAATGAAACACAAGGAGATGAAAGCACAAAAACGCACAAAAAACCACCCCAAATGTTATTGAAGGACATTTGTGAGAAAAAGGACACAAGGGGCTGGAGCGTGGTCAGGGCTGGGGCTGCAGAATCCCTGAGGGAGCCGGGCAGGGGCTGCAGAATCCCTGAGGGAGCTGGGCAGGGGCTGCAGAATCCCTGAGGGAGCCGGGCAGGGGCTGCAGAATCCCTGAGGGAGCCGGGCAGGGGCTGCAGAATCCCTGAGGGAGCTGGGCAGGGGCTCAGCCTGGAGCAAAGGAGGCTCAGGGGACCCTTGTGGCTCTGCACAGCTCCTGCCAGGAGGGCACAGCCGGGGGGATTTGGGATCTTATCCCAGGGAACAGGGACAGGAGCAGAGGGAACGGCCTCAGGGGAGCTCAGGGTGGGCATTGGGAGGAATTTCCCCATGGAAAGGGGGGTCAGGGATTGGAAGTGCCCACGGAGGTTTGGAGTGCCCATCCCTGGGGTTTTCACAGCCCTGTGGATGTGGCACTTGGTGACATGGGCAGGGGTGGCCGGACTCGATGCTCTCGGAGTTTTTCCCAATTCCAGGAGCAATTCCCGGTGGAATTTCCGATCCCGTTCTGACCAAGGCCAGCAGCGCCCTTTGGGGAGCTGATAAGGATCTGGGCTGATAAGGATCTGGGCTGATAACGATCTGAGCTCACATGAGGGTCCGGGCTGATGACGATCTGAGCTGATAAGGATTTGAGTGATAACGACCTAAACTGATAACGATCCGGGCTGATAACGCCAAGGTCGGGGGCACCCGGAGCCGTTCGCGGAATTGTCTGGCCCAGATTAGTGGGATAAGAAATGTCTGCACCTTCACACGCCGGGAAATTGTTGGGAGGATTAGGATCAATCCCCAGGAGAGCTCAGGGACAGCAAATAGAGGGAATGCAGCTGGAGAAGGAGGGAGGCAGGGCAGGGCTGGAAATCCAGGAGCAGGACTTCCAGCGAAGGAGGAACTAAAAAATGCACCTGAAACAAAAAATCCTGTATTTTTGCCACTCAGGGAAAGTGGGAATGCCCTGAAACAAAAAAATCCCAATTTTTGCCACCCAGGGAAAGTGTGGATGTCCCGTTTTGCTGTGGAATTTCTGCTGCTGTGCCCCGTGGCTGCAGAGCACATAATTTCCCATTTTGCTCTTTCCTTCCCTCCTACAGAAGCAGTTTCTGATTTTGGGCTAACTCAGCACCAATCCCCTTCAGTGAACCCCAAATCTGCAGCTCCGGGGGGAAGGGATGGACAAGGGGTTCTGAGGGGTGAAAAGGGGAGCAGAAAAGGGCAGGAAAATGGCATTTTGTCATTTCTTTTGCCATTTCTGTTTGCTTTTCCTCGGAGCTGTTGCTAAAACAGAGCTTTGGTTGCCTGGGGTGGCAGCTCCATGTGCCTGGGGACAGGGACAGGGACAGGGACAGGGACAGGGACAGGGACAGGGACAGGGACAGGGCATGAGGAGCAGGACCCTGCTCCCACCCCGGCCCTGCCATCCCTGGGGTTGGGGTTTGCTGCTGGAGGCTCTGAGCTGTCCCCAGAGCCCTGCAGGAGCAGCCCTGGAGCTGTGGGGTCAGCCCTGGCCCCAAATTCACTCAGCCCTGACCCCAAACCCAGCCCTGATCCCAAACCCAGCCCTGATCCCAAACTCACTCAGCCCTGGCCCCAACCCCAGTCCTGGCCCCAAATCCAGCCTTTACCCCAAACTCACTCAGTCCTGACCCCAAACCCAGTCCTGGCCCCAACCCCAGCCCCCCCAGGCTCCCTCTGTCCCCCAGCTCCTCTCCCAAGGAAACCAAAGCCATAAATCCAACCCAGACCTGCCAAAGCTGGGAGGGCTCCCTGTGCCCCAAATCCATCCCAGATCTGTGTGGGGATGGAGGCTGACCCAAACTTGTCCCCAGAGCTCTCTGTGAGGATGGAGCTGCCCCAAATCCATCCCAAAGGCTCATCCTGGGATCTGTGTGGGGATGGAGCTGCCCCAAATCCATCCCAGGCTCTGTGTGAGGGTTGAGGCTGCCCCAAATCCACCCCCAAGGCCTATCCCAGGATGGAGCTGCCCCAAATCCATCCCAGGCTCTGTGTGAGGATCAGGCTGCCCCAAATCCCAGATCTGGGTGAGGATGAGCTGCCCCAAACCCCCTTCCCCCCCTTTCCCCCCCCTTTCCCCCTTTCCCCTCCCCAGGAGCTGCTGCTGCTGCCACAGCCGTGTTTGCTGACAGCAGAGGGGAGAGAATCTGTTTATCCCCAGCCCATGTGGAGTGACAGAAGACTATCACATTTTGGTGCCATCCCAGCAGAATATCAATTCCTTGGCTGATTCAATCCCACCAGATCCATCCAGGCTGGCAACTTGTGCTTCCCTGCCTGGGAGGAGGGGGAGCTCCCCCACCAAAAACAAGGGTTTGTTACAATTTGGGGTTTTTGGGGGGGGAAATAACCCCAAATCCATGGGGTGAGCTCATCCAGAAATGGGGAATAACCCAAATCCATGGGGTGAGCTCATCCAGAAATGGGATTTTTTTGGGGGGGGATGGGGGGGGGGGGTGCTCCACTGAGGAAATCCTGGAGCTCTGACCCCAAGGGAAGCCCATGAAGGAGCTGTGACCCCATAAGGAGCCCCTGAAGGAGGTTTGGCCCCATGGGAAGCTCATGAAGGAGCTGTGACCCCATAAGAAGTCTCTGGAGGAGCTGTGACCCTATGGGAAGCCCCTGAAGGAAACTGAACCCCAAGAGAAGCCCTGAAGGAGCTGTGAGCCCATGAGAAGCCCCTGAAGGAGGTTTGGCCCCATAAGAAGCCCTGAAGGAGCTGTGGCCCCAAGGGAAGCCCCTGAAGGAGCTGTGACCCCATAAGGACCCCTGAAGGAGCTGTGACCCCATAACAAGCCCCAGAAGAAAGGGTTTGACCCCACAAGGAGCCCCTGAAGGAGCTGTGAGCCCAAGGGAAGCCCACACTGGAGCAGGGGCAGAGTGAGGAGGAGGAGGAGGAGGAAGGAGCACAGTGACAATGTGAGAGGGACTGAGCACAGCCCCATTCCCTGTCCCCCTGCAGCACTGGGAAGGAGGAGGGAGAGAAGCAGGAGGGAAACTGAGCCTGAGAAGGAAGGAGGGGTGGGGGAAAAGGGATTTCAAATTTGGGTTTATTTCTCACAGCAGAAACCAGGGAGAAGGTATCTTCATGGGGGCACTGGCATTGTGCCAGTGTTAAACCATGACACCTGCTCTGGTTGGATTGGTAATAAATTAAATTAATAAATTCAACTGATTTATTTCTCACTGCCCTGCTCTGGTTGGATTGGCAATAAATTAATTTAATAAATTCACCTGATTTCCTCCATCTCCTGTGCCTCCATCTCTGGTGAGCTCTGAGGGATCTCTCCCTGCCCCATCCCCAAATGGGATTTTTGTGGATTTTCTCTCCCTGCCCAGCTGAGGAGGGGAGTGAGAGCAGCTTTGGGGGGTACCTGGTGCCCATGCAGGGTCCCCCCACCCAGGAGGGAGTTTTGGGGTGCCCAGAGGGGACAGCTGGGACAAGGGCACAGGAGCATTCCTTGGGAGGGCAGATCTGGAGAAAGCTTTGGGCGTCAGAGCCGGAGCCTGGAGCAGCAGCCAGGCTCCCTCCTTGTGCAGGGCTGGGATTGCTCTGTGCTCCAGGCAGGAATTTGGGTTTAAATCCTTGCTTTGCCCAACTCCAGGCACTGTCCCAGGCTGGATCCCCTTTCACAGGCTCCCAGCTCAGCCTCAGCATTTCCCTGCTGAGCCCCCCAGCCATGCCCAGCTCCCCAGGGGCTCCATCCCTGCAGCTGCAGGGAAAATAAACCAGGTTAGAGCTGAGGGAGCCGCTCTGGGGGAGCAGCAGGGTCATTTCTGGGGCTGAGGGCAGCTCATGTTCTTCAGGGGAAAGGCTTGGGTGGAGAAAGGAGCTGGGAAGGAAAAGGGGCTGAGTGGGGCAAGGTGGGGGAACAGAGCTGGGGAGGAGTCTGGGACACCAGAGCTCCCAGGAGCCCTGATGGAGCCAGGCCCTTTCCTTTTTCCCCTTTTCCCCCTTTTTTTCCCTTTTCCCCTTTCCTTTTTCCTTTTTCCTTTTTCCTTTCCTTTCCTTTCCTTTCCTTTCCTTTCCTTTCCTTTCCTTTCCTTTCCTTTCCTTTCCTTTCCTTTCCTTTCCTTTCCTTTCCTTTCCTTTCCTTTCCTTTCCTTTTCCTTTCAATTTCCTTTCCTTTCCTTTCCTTTCCTTTCCTTTCCTTTCCTTTCCTTTCCTTTCCTTTCCTTTCCTTTCCTTTCCTTTTCCTTTCAATTTCCTTTCCTTGAAATTTCCTTTCCTTTCCTTGAAATTTCCTTCCCTTCCCTTCCCTTCCCTTCCCTTCCCTTCCCTTCCCTTCCCTTCCCTTCCCTTCCCTTCCCTTCCCTTCCCTTCCCTTCCCTTCCCTTCCCTTCCCTTCCCTTCCCTTCCCTCTTTTCCCTTCCCTTTCCTTTCCCTGGGTGCTCAGGGTACCCACACCAACCCCAAAGGGTCCCAAACCCCTCAGGTGCCCCACACCTGGGCCAGGAGCAGGATTTGGGCTGTAACTCGAGGTTCCTGCAGCATTCCCACTGCACAGCACTCAGGGACTGTCAGGACAGGTGGAAAAGCTGCTGGAGGAGTTGGACACCCTCCTCCTCCTCCTCCTCCTCCTCGTGCAGCAGACAAACAGAAATGTCACTCGGTGTCCAGGCGCCGTCAGCACAGACGCTGTTGTCAATGAATCAGAAGTGTCTAGGAACAGCTTGAACAACTTTTATTTTTTTTTAAAGTGCTTAAAACGTAAATAACAAGCTCTTTATAAACATTAGTTGCAACTCTTAAAACATGAGACACACAGAACCCACTTCCTGCAGACGTGAAGAGAGGGAAACCAACAACTCCAAACCCCAACACTTCTCCCACCTGGGGATGCTTTTCCAGGATTTTTACCCCAAACTGGGGCTCCCTCCCAGACAAGGCTGAGTCTACATCACACTGGAGAATGCACATCCCTCAGGTCTGTTCCAGTTTGAGGACAAGCCTTGGTGGCTCTCCTGGCCCACACGTGGCCAGGAGGACCAGGCAAGGGGAAATTGGCCAAAGCTCTGGGGAAGCAAAGCCCAGCTGAGGGCTGGCAGCAAGGCAGAGCACAGCACCCTGCTGCAGCCTCCTGGAACAGCTCCAGAGTGGAAAAACAAACTCCAGGAGAAAGGCAAAACCACGGGGGCTGTTATGGCTGGGTTTGAAACAGAACAGGGAGAGGCTGCTGCTGGCCCAGAACAGGCTCAGCACAGAGGGCTGTGCTGGGCTCAGCACAGAGGGACAGAGCTCAGGGACATGGAGCAGGAACGCTGCTCCTGCCCCTGGGACCCCAAATAAATCACTAAATAGGAGATTCAGTCACTGAACACAGAGATTAATCAAGATTAATCAAGATGGGCAACTTGAGAACATTTCCCCGGGTCTCTTCCTCGTCCCCTCCCTCTCTAGGGAAGCATTTATGCCCTCAGAACCATTCCTTGGGAAGGTGGAGGTTCAGCACCAGCACCACAGACCCCACTGCAGTGCTGCTGTGCTGCTCTTGTGCACAGAACAAAATCTGTGTGCTGAGGGGGGAACCCCAAATCTTCAGCCCAGAGGGGTGGGGAAACAGAGAACAGAGACAGGAGCATCTGTGGAGCTTTCCCAAGCACAGGGAGGGACCTGCTGGACACTGGGGGACAGGCACAGAGCATCCATCACTGCTCCACACTCCTGCAGCACCCAGGGAGCCCTGCACACCTGGGCTCCTGCAGCTGGGAGGGGCAGGGATCGCTGCAAATGGGACATGGGGGAGCAGGGACTGCTGGAAAGGATGGAGATGGAAGGAGCAGGGATTGCTGGAAAGGATGGAGATGGGAGGAGCAGGGATTGCTGGAAAGGATGGAGATGAGGGAACAGGTATTGCTGGAAAGGATGGAGATGAGGGAACAGGTATTGCTTGGAAAGGATGGAGATGAGGGAACAGGTATTGCTTGGAAAGGATGGAGATGGAAGGAGCAGGGATTGCTGGAAAGGATGGAGATGAGGGAACAGGTATTGCTGGAAAGGATGGAGATGGGGGAACAGAACAGGTATTGCTAGAAAGGCAGGAAGCTTGGAAGCACCCATTGCTGGAAAGGCAGGAGATGGAAAGAGCAGATATTGCTTGGAAATGGGAGCTATGGAAGCACCCATTGCTGGAAAGGCAGCAGATGAGGGAACAGGTATTCTTGGAAAGGCAGGAGATGGAAAGAGCAGGTATTACTGGAAAGGCAGGAGGTGAGGGAGCAGAACAGGTATTGCTAGAAAGGCAGGAAGTGTGGAAGCACCCATTGCTGGAAAGGCAGGAGAGGAGGAACAGGTATTGCTGGAAACAGGAGATGAGGGAATAGAACAGGAATTGCTGGAAAGGCAGGAGGTGAGGGAACAGGATTGCTGGAAACAGGAGATGAGGGAATAGAACAGGTATGGCTAGAAAGGAAGTGTGGAAACACCTATTGCTGGAAAGGCAGGAGAGGAGGGAACAGGTATTGCTGGAAACAGGAGATAGAGCAGATATTGCTGGAAAGGCAGGAGATGGAAAGAGCACATATTGCTTGGAAATGGGAGCTATGGAAGCACCCATTGCTGGAAAGGCAGAAGATGAGGGAACAGAACAGGTATTGCTAGAAAGGCAAGAGGTGTGGAAGCAGCCATTGCTGGAAAGGCAGGAGATGGAAGGAGCAGGTATTGCTGGAAAGGCAGGAGATGTGGAAACACCCATTACTACAAGGGCAGGAGAGGAGGGAACAGAACAGATATTGCTAGAAAGGCAAGAGGTGTGGAAGCACCTATTGCTGGAAAGGCAGGAGGTGAGGGAACAGGTATTGCTGGAAACAGGAGATGAAGGAATAGAACAGGAATTGCTGGAAAGGCAGGAGGTGAAGGAAAGGATATTGCTTGGAAATGGGAGCTATGGAAGCACCCATTGCTGGAAAGGCAGGAGGCGAGGGATTTCTGGAAACAGGAGATGAGGGAATAGAACAAGAATTGCTGGGAAGGCAGGAGATGAGGGAACACATGTTCTTGGAAAGGCAGGGGATTGAAGGAGCAGGTATTGCTGGAAAGGCAGGGGATTGAAGGAGCAGGTATTGCTGGAAAGGCAGGAGCTATGGGAACACCCATTGCTGGAAGGGAAGGAGATGAGGAAACAGAACAGGTATTGCTAGAAAGGCAAGAGGTGTGGAAGCACCCATTGATGGAAAGGCAGGAGATGAAGGAATAGAACAGGAATTGCTGGAAAGGCTGGAGGTGAGGGAACAGGTATTGCTGAAGAGGCAGGAGATGGAAAGAGCAGATATTGCTTGGAAATGGGAGCTATGGAAGCACCCATTGCTGAAAAGGCAGGAGGTGAGGGAACAGAACAGGTATTGCTAGAAAGACAGGAGGTGTGGAAGCACCCATTGATGGAAAGGCAAGAGATGAGGGATTTCTGGAAACAGGAGATGAGGGAATAGAACAAGAATTGCTGGAAAGGCAGGAGAGGAGGGAACAGGTGTTGCTGGAAAGGCAGGAGATGGCAAAGCACCCGTTGCTGGAAAGGCAGGAAAGGAAGGAACAGGTATTGCTGGGAACAGGAGATGGGGGAACAGAACAGGAATTGCTGGGAACAGAACAGGTATTGCTGGGAACAGGAGATGGGGAACAGAACAGGTATTGCTGGGAACAGAACAGGTATTGCTGGCTACAGAAATAGAACAGGTATTGCTAGAACAGAACAGGTGTTGCTGCAAACAGGAGATGGGGAACAGAACAGGTATTGCTAGAACAGAACAGGTATTGCTGGCTACAGAAATAGAACAGGTATTGCTGGGAACAGAACAGGTATTGCTAGAACAGAACAGGTATTGCTGCAAACAGGAGATGGGGAACAGAACAGGTATTGCTAGAACAGTACAGGTGTTGCTAGAACAGAACAGGTATTGCTGGCTACAGAAATAGAACAGGTATTGCTAGAACAGAACAGGTGTTGCTAGAACAGAACAGGTGTTGCTGCAAACAGGAGATGTGGAACAGAACAGGTATTGCTAGAACAGAACAGGTGTTGCTAGAACAGAACAAGTATTGCTGCAAACAGGAGATGTGCAAGCACCTATTGCTGCAGGGCTGCACACCTGGTACAGCCTGCTGAGCTCTGAGAGTCACTTTTTATATTCAAGTGCAAAACGTTGAGGCTTTTGGAGCAAAACAAGGCAGAGCTGACTAAGGCAGAGGGGGCTGAGGGAGGCGGTGAGACACGACTGAGGGGAGGCAGAGGTGGGAGGGAGGGCTGTGGGATCCATACAAACACTGGCACTTGTGTGGGGAGCACCAAGAGCCGTCCCTGCAGGGCACAGGGCCAAGAGCAGGATCTTTGCGAGGCTGGGAGCCCCGTGGGAGATGTTGGCCCTGCAGCTGCCCCGTTAATGCCCACTGAGGAATCCCTCTCCCTTTGCCCAGCACTGCTGCACCCCCAGGGCTGCATTCCCAGTGCCCACAGCTCCTCCCTGACTGCTCCCAGGGGCACAGCTGGGCACAGCTGGGCACCCAGAGAAGGCTCGGGCTGCCAGGGCACGGGATCTGACCCTACAGGCACAGAGGTTCCTGGCACCTTCTGAAACGGGAGAAACACTTGCCTTGGACACCCCCATGCCAGCCCAGACACGCAGAGGGAGGAGGAGCAGGAACGCAGCAGGAGCAGCTGGAGCAGTGCAAACCTCAGGTGTTTCCCAGGAGGGGAGAGGCAGGAAGGAGTGGGAGGTTCATGGCTGCTGTTCTCCCAGGGAACACATCCTCCTCCTCCTCCTCCTCCTCGAGCAGGGGTGCAAGGCTTGGACAGGACAGAGCTCCTTTCCTCCTGAGCCACTTCTGTCTCCAGCTGCACTTTAGCTTGGAATACTCAGCCTGCCCTTCCTGCTGTGTCAGCTCCTGATCTCTGCTCCCAGCTCTCCTGAGCTGCTGTGCACAACTCCTGGAGGAGCCAGGGCACCTGCACAGGGGGTGGGGAGGCTCTGCTGTCCCCGGGTGACAATTAACTCCCTTTGCTTGGTGAGAAGGAAAAGAGAGGAGGAACCAGCCCCAGGCAGGTTGTGTGGGATGGAGAATTGGGTTGCAGAGCCTCTTTGGGGTAGGAAACTGCTACTGGCCTGTGGCAAAAGGCACCATTCTTCAAAGGCATGGTCTATACTGAAGCAAGTAAAGAGAAGAGCAGGGAGGTTTTAAAAGAGCACAGTGACTTTGGGAGGTAGAGAAGAGGGAGAAGATGCCTTTCATGCTGAAATCCCACTCCAACTGCCCCTCTGCCTGCACAGCCACCTCCTACAGCCAAAATCCTGGCAGGATGAGGGAGGGAACAACATCCTTCCTATCCCCTTCCACTGTAGCTCCAGTTCAGCCAGGTAAATCAGGTGGGGAATCCTTTGAAACCTCCAGGCTTCAGCATGGAAAGATCTACCACAGAGATTTCCCCGCCTAGGCTGAAAGAGAAGACTTCCCCATGGAGCCTCCCAACACTGATCTTCCCAGCTTCCTTCTCCATTTGTCCCAAATCCTCAAGGTTTCTCCTTTCCCTGTCTCCTCACTGGCTGTGGTACCCCTGGTGCCTGTCCTGTTTTCCCTGTAGGGCAGGACAAAGGGCCCAGTGCCACCCCTGTGCCCTCAGCACTGCCTGCTGACCCATACCTGATCATGCAGAGCACATGGTCTGCTCTTTGTCCCTGATTTCCCTTCAGCCTGCTGGAATAAACCTCGCTGGAATTTATCCTACAAAAGGCCCTTCTTGCCTCAGTGAGCTGAGCTAGCCATGGTGAGTGCAGTGTGTGGACTTGACTGCTTTGCCTGAATTCCTACCCAAGCAGCCTTTTCCACATGAGATGTGTCTTAGGTTGAAAGATTTAGTTGTGTGTTCTGTTCCCATCTGTTGGAGGTGTGGCAGTTATCTTCTGTTAATTGAGCAGTTTATCTCTTCCACAACCAATCCTCCCTCTGGGAAATATCCTCTGTTAATGGGCCATTAATTACTAATTATCTTCTGCCAATGGGCCATTGAGTCACACAGATAAAATTCCACCATCCCATTGGGAGATGGGGAGGAGCCAAGCATTCCTACCTGCATATAATCTGAGATTTGGAACACCACAGCAGCCTTTGCCCACTGCATTGCCAGAGGGAGCCCAGGCCCATCTCCAGCAGCCCTGGAGCTGCAGAGGAAAACTCTCCCCTTGTGCAGGATCCCTGCTCCAGCAGAACCACCCTTCTTTCCATTTTCCATTTCAGGGGAGGCTCCTGCCTTCCTCATCAGACAGCTGGCTTTTCAAACCAAGACAAGAGCCTTCTTGGGAATTAGCAGCAACTTCCACACCATCTGAACCCCACTCTCTCCAAGGTGGTGCCCAACGTGGGGTGAGTGGCACGGGGGCAGCTCTGGGGAGCGGGAGAAGCTGCGGCCATGTCGGAACGGAAAGTGCTGAACAAATATTACCCCCCAGACTTCGACCCCACCAAGATCCCCAAGCTGAGGCTCCCAAAGGAGCGGCAGTACGTGGTGAGGCTCATGGCCCCCTTCAACATGAGGTGCAGGACGTGTGGGGAGTACATCTACAAGGGCAAGAAGTTCAACGCCCGCAAGGAGACGGTGCAGAACGAGTCCTACCTGGGGCTGCCCATCTTCCGCTTCTACATCAAGTGCCCGCGCTGCCTGGCTGGGATCACCTTCAAGACAGACCCCCAGAACACAGATTACGCCATGGAGCACGGCGCCACCAGGAACTTCCAGGCACAGAAGCTCCTGGAGGAGGAGGAGAAGAGGATGCAGAAGGAGAGGGAAGAGGAGGAGCTCAACAATCCCATGAAGGTCCTGGAGAACCGAACCAAGGACTCCAAGCTGGAGATGGAGATCCTGGAGAATCTGCAGGAGCTGAAGGAGCTCAACCAGCGCCAGGCCAACGTGGATTTTGAGGCCATGCTGCAGCAGCACAAGGAGGTGGAGGAGAAGCAGAGGCGCAAGGAGCAGGAGGAAGATGAGCAGGAGATGAAGGCCATGTTGGAACAGGCCCAGAGCCGCCGGCTCCTGGTGGATTCTGACTCCAATGAGGAACCAGCAAAACGCTGTCCAAATCCCACAAGTCAAACAAAACCCATGGACATCCCGCAGGAGGATCCCCAGAGCAAGAGGCTGAGGATGGAAAGCTGGGAGTGCAGCGTGGGCAAGCTCAGCACCAGGGCCCGGCTGGCCGGGCTGGTGGCCCGCAGGAAGGAGAAAGCAGCTTCTGCCCTGGATAAGGGGATGGGAACCCACGGCATCACAGCCAGCACCAGCTCCCTTCCAGCACCACCGGCAGCCACGTCCTTGCTGGGTTTGCTGGGAGCCTACTCAGACAGCGACTGAGGGAACAGAGGAACAGGGATGGGGCTGTCCCCACACGGAGCAGATCCCACCTTTGTACAGACTGGGGGCTCCTCCAGCCCTCAGTGCAGGGACAGGGCTGTCCTGCCACCACTAGCCCCCCTAGATGTCTCCAGGAGCTCATGGACAAACCCCTCCCTGCTGCTCCGTGCTTGCTGGGATCCAGCAGCCACAACTCTAGGACAAATGGGATCTGGCAGAAAAAAACCCAAAAAAACCCCAAGAAAAAACCCCAAAAAACCCCAACAAAACACCAAAAAAAAAAAAAAAAAAGGACTTGACTGCCCTGCTTGAATTCCTACCCAAGCAGCTTTTCCACAGGAGATATTTCTTGGGAATCAGGTAGCAGCTTGCAGCTTCCACCATCTAATCGCCATGCTGCTACAAACTGGTGCCCTGACTGTGGGGTTTCTTGTTAGCCCTTTGAAGCATCTCCACTGGCCAGCCACTGGATTTTAAGTTGCAGCCAAGTGCTCCAGTTCCCCAAGGGAAAAAAGCCCAATTTTCTGGGGAATTTCTTAGCAGTCAACTGACTACCCTCAAGACCTCAAGGGCTGTTGACTCAGTGAAACTCCTGCGAGATCGTTCTTTTGAGCTGTTTCATCCCTCTTTTCCCACAACCTCAGAGCATTGAGGCACAGAGAAACCACCTATGATGACAATGACTGTGAGGAAGGTGCTGACTCTCCCAGGCTACCAACATGTTCAGGCAGAGAACGCTGGTGAGAGCCCTTTTCTGTTGAATTTGAGGATGAAGTGATCTGCTGAATTCCAGCTGGTAAACCTGGACCTCCTGATGGGCCAGGGGGTGTTTTAATCATAGGAGACACTGTTAATGAGTTACATGTGCTTCCTGAAGTCCACACTGTGGGGCCAATGGATGAGATCACTGTGACTGTAATATGTACAGACCCACCCTGGTGTTTGACTTTGGGCACACCTATACCCAAGCTTTTCTTGTACCCACCTGGGCTGATGTTTTGCCAGAAAATCCTATGGTTTTTTGGGCAGAGATGCTAGGCCAAGACAGACCTCTTATAGAGTGTGCCTTGTCTAACAAAGGTACCAAAGTTTCTATTCCAGGTGTGGCTCACAGCAGGTCAGATGCCACCATCACTGCTCACTCCAGGTGGCCACAGGGCTGGGAACTGGAGCCAGCCTTTGGATCATCTCTGGGATTGGAGCAGCTGCCCCATCTCTGCAGAGTAAAAGGTCAATCCTTACTGAAGGTCCTGAGGGTCAAACTGCCACAGGAAGACCTTTTGTGGTAAAGGCACCTGTCCTTCTGTGGGGCAGAGACAATGGGGAGCCAGACCAGAAATGCCTTCACACCCACAGCATTTCCAGCTGGGCCACTGCAGAGCACCCCACCACCACTCACATGGAAGTCAGATGGTCCCATTTGGGTGGAACAGAGGCCCCTGGCAGAAGTCAAACCAAAGGCACTCGAATCCCTAGTGCAGGAGCAGCTATCCAAGGGCCACACAGTACCACCACCAGCCCTTGGAACTCCTCTGTCTTTGTCATTCATACACCAGGCAAAGGCAAGTGGAGGCTCCCACAAGACCTCAGAAATGTCAACGGGGTCATTGTTACAGCCTGGCCTGCCCTCACCTTCAATGCTCCTGAGATTGGAAACTGGCAGTCATTGATATTAAGGATTGGTTTTTAAATATCCCACTCCATCCTAGAGATGCCCCAAGATTTGTATTTTCTGTGCCATCAGTTAATAGACAAGCCCCTCTAAAAAGGTATCAATGGAAGTTCTTTCTCAAGGGATGAAAAACTCCTGAGCCATCTGCCAAATCTTTGTTGCTTGCATTCTCTTGCCCATTCAAGAAAAATTCCCCAATGCCATAATTTTTCACCATCTGGATGATATTTCAGTATGCACTGAGACTGACTACTATTTGGACACTGTTCTCAGACTATCCAAGCCACTGAAGGAGCAGTATTTGAAATTGTTACTGAGAAGATTCAGCACATCTGCCCATGGACCTACCTTGGACTCTGGCTCAGCTAAAGGACCAATGTGCCCCAGCAGCTCACCATGATGACAACCCAAGGACCCTGAGGGACCTTCATCAGCTATGTGGGACCATAAACTGGGTTTGTTCACTGCTAGGGATCATGACTGAGGACCTTGCACCCCTTTTCAACCTCCTGAGAGGCCCTGATGACCTCGACTCCCCAGGAACCATCACACCAAAGGCCCATGAAGTGATCCAGGAGGTATCAGAAGCATTGCACAGAGACAAGCCCACAGTGCTGATCCTACCCTGCCTTTCCAATTTGTCATCCTGGGTAAACCACCCAAATTCCATGGGCTCATTTTCCAGTGGGACCCACTCTGAGAGATCAGCTCCTAATCACAGAGTGGGTGTTTCAATCACACAGACCAAATAAGACACCACAACCCCTCAGGAGCTTAGGCCCAGCTTATCAGAAAGGCCAGAGCTCACCTCAGGACCCTGGTGGGGTGTGAATTTACAGGCATCTGTCTTCCAGAGACATTGAACAGGCCAGAACCTTTGCTCCAAACCACTGAACACCTCCAGTTTGCTCGGACAGCTACCCAGGCCAAATCTTCATCCACCTACCAAAGCAGAAACTATTTAATGCTTGCTTTAATTTGGTCCCAAATTCATTAAAAAGTAGAACTCCTCTAAAGGCATAGACTGTATTTACAGATGGTTCAGGGGGATCCCACAAGTCAGTTATGATGTGGAAGAATCCTGACACTCAAGAATGGGAGTCTGATGTTCAGATTGTTCAAGGATCCCCACAAACTACAGAATTAGCAGCCGTTGTCAGAGCCTTTGAAAAATTCAAACAACCCTTAAATTTAGTCACTGATTTGGCCTATGTTGCTGGAATAGCTGAGAGAGCAGAACATTCCTTGTTGCAGGAAGTGCCAAATCTAGATTTCTCCCAAAATGAACATACCTCCTCTCCCACTGAGAGCAGCCATATCACATCATGCACGTGAGGCCACACACTGACCTCCCAGGACCAGCTACAGAAGGCAACTGGAGGGCAGATATTTTCAATCAGGCTAAATTGAGCCATCAGTTTTTTCACCAAAATGTGCCAGCCCTTGTCAGAATGTTTAAAATCACAAGAGAACAGGCAAGAGCAATCGTGGGCTCCTGCCCCAATTGCCAGGAGTTTGCTTTGTCCTCTCTGAGGGCCAGGGTCAACCCCCAAGGCATTGAAAGTTTACAGCTTTTGCAAACAGATGTCACACATTATGCACCTTTTGGGAGGCAAAAACTCATTCACAAACACAAGACCTGACTAATGGAGATATTGATTATGTAGGCTTCCCCATGGGGGCTAGAGGAAAATGGTGTAACAAGAACTCTGAGCTGCTTTTGGCCCTTAATGCCTTCATTCCATAGATAAGTTCTCTGGGGCAGTATTTGCATCAGCCCATGCAGGAGAAAAGACAAAAGATGTCATCCAACATTTTTTCCTAGCATTCTCCACCCTAGGCATTCCCCAAACAGATAATGGTCCTGCTTACACCTCCAAAAATTTCAAACAGTTCCCAGATCAATGTGGGGTGAAACACACCAGTGGCATTCCCATTCACCAACAGGGCAATCTGTTGTATAGAGGCCTCACTGCACACTCAAGAGAGTCCTTGATCAGCAGCATGGGGGAGTTGAAACACTACTGGATGTAGGAAGATTATGTAAGGCTCTTTATGTCATCAATTTTCTTAATAATTCATTCATGGAGCCAAATCCCCCATTGTCAGACACTTCTCCAATATGCACAGATCCCAGTTCACAGAGAAACCCCCTGTGCTGATCAAAGACCCCCAGTCCAAACAAATATTGAGCCCATTTAAATGAATTCCTTAGGGTAGAGGCTATGCTGGCATGTCTACAGGATCTGGCCCAAGGTGGAGTCCAGGCAGGAATGTCAGGCTGTGTATCAAACTGCCAGATGCAGCACCCAGAGACACTCCCCCTGAACCTCAGACACAGCAAAGACATCAGCTTGGGTGGTGTGGAGCAGAGAAGGAAAAAGAGTGTAAACACAGATGTTAGCCACAGAAGATGACTCTGCACTGCTCCAGAAGATTATTAGGACTGTTGAGTTTCATTTGCTCATTGTTTTGCACTGTTACCCCTCTTTGGCTGGTTTTAGTGCTACCCCTCTTTAGTTTGTTGCATTGTTATCCCCTCTTGTTTTCCCTCCTCTTTCCTACTCAGTAAAAACTGAGGGGATCAGATGGGAAGATATGAGGGGCTGTTAAATTCATATAAGTCTAAAAATCCATTTTTTCAAAATCACAGATCAACTCATCCCCAGGTATTCTACCATGGCTCCAGTGGCAGGGAACCCCCAGCTGTTCCAGAGAGGATTTTGGATGCTGCTCACCTTTCCATCAGCTGGTGCATGGATTGTCCCTCAGCCCAGCCAGAACATCTGGGTCACACTGGCCAAGACTTTACAGCAGGACAATCTCTGCCTGTCCATGGACAGCGTGGACAACCCTCTGGCAATGTGCCTGGTAGGGGTTCCTTAGCAGCAAATGAATACCCACATACAGATAAGAAACACAACCTGGCAGATGCTTGGGATGGGTAGAGACCCCCCTGCCTTGAGCACCAGAGAAATTCCAGGAGTTAGAGCTGTTGGGGTCCTTCAAAGCTCATTATTGTGTCCAACTTCAATATCAACCTCCCAACCAACACTTGACCCACCTTGAACTTATCAGGTCTACCCATAGGAAAGATGTAACCCCATTTAACAAAAATGATACCCCTCCAAACTGGTGCAATTACACCAGTCCTACACTTTCTTCATCCTCACTCCATCCCAAAGTGCTGCCCCAGGGAGTGTTCCTTGTCTGTGGAGACTGAATATGGGCTGGAATCCCCTCAGGCCTTCAAGGGGGTCCCTGCAGCCTTAGCCAGCTTACTTTATATAATTTTACTTCAAACATAACTTTACTTCAAAATTGGAAACAAAAAGGGGAATTGGCACGCCAAAAGAGATGATATACTGAATTTGATGAAGATTGCAACAGACAAGTTTACAACTGGAACAAAGGAAACAGTTGTGGTCTCACACTACTTCACCTTTGGGTGGTCACTCGGGGGACAGCAGGGAACAGAGCTGCCCCTGAGGCTGGGCACTGCCCTGGAGAGCCCATCCCAGCCTGTGGATGTGATCAGGAGAGCAGGCTGGGCACTGCCCTGGAGAGCAGGCTGGGCACTGCCCTGGAGAGCCCATCCCAGTGTGGATGTATCAGGGGAGCAGGCTGGGCACTGCCCTGGAGAGCAGGTTGGGCACTGCCCTGGAGAGCCCATCCCAGTGTGGATGTGCTCAGGGGAGCAGGCTGGGCACTGCCCTGGAGAGCCCATCCCAGTGTGGATGTGCTCAGGGGAGCAGGCTGGGCACTGCCCCGCCAGATTTGGGAATTCTGGGCTGTGCCAGGAGGGTTTGGGGTGCCTGACCCCGCAGGGGCCCTACAGAGGGGTCAGACCCCCCAGACCTCGCTCTGGGGGCATTTTCTGGCTGTGCTGGACAGACGAGGCAGGCCAGGGCAGGGCAGCTGTGAGCAGCCATTCCTGGGGATACTGAGTGGAAATTCAGTATGGATTCTGCACTCCTTGGTCCCTCCAGGGCACAGCAGCCTCTGCTGGGTGTGGGCATGCAGACATCTCCTGCAGCACTCCTGGAGCACCTCTGCCATATTCCCAGTCCAGCCATGAGGCACCCAGGCAGTGTCAGCCTGGCACGGGTGCTGTGACAGAGCCAGCGTGGCCCAGCCAGGCTCTGACACCACCAGGCCTGGCGCTGTCCCTGTGTGGAGCATCTCCCACAAGTGTGCTGAGGGAGTGGCACAAACTGGAGTTGGCTCTTCACCCTTCACTGGGGGTAACTGGGGCAGGAGGGGAAGGGGCATCCCACAGGCTCTGGTCAGGAACGTGCTGGGGGAGCCTCAGGGGGTCTCAGTGTCCCCAGTGTCACCCACCAGCCCAACACCAGCCAGAGGACACCACCCTCAGGGGAGAGAGGAGGAGGAGGAGTGTGGGCAGAGGAGCAGCAGCAGCAGGATGAAGTCACGAGGAGATGGTTTCCAGCTCTCAGATGTCCAGGGGTCACTTAAAGCTCTGGCAGGAGGAGTGCCTGGGAGGTGGCACTTGGTCACAGCGACAGGAACCCAGGGAGGCGCCTGCCTGGTGGGGAGGGCTCTGCTCCTCCCCATAGGGTGCTGGCAGCCCACCACCCTACAGCTCCCTGGAGCCGAGCTGGGCTAAGCTGGGGCTGGGAAGGAGCAGCCAACCCTTCCTGCTAACTCTGGGAACAGAAGCCACTGGAGGCCTCGGGCGAGAGGAGGGGGTGCGGGGGTCTTGGCAGCGTGGTGGGTACTGGGGCACAGCTCTGCTGGGTGCTGCTGCCCTGGGCAGGCTCAGGGGGCACAGCTCTGCTGGGTGCTGCTGCCCTGGGCAGGCTCAGGGGGCACAGCTCTGCTGGGTGCTGCTGCCCTGGGCAGGCTCAGGGGGCACAGCTCTGCTGGGTGCTGCTGCCCTGGGCAGGCTCAGGGGGCACAGCTCTGCTGGGTGCTGCTGCCCTGGGCAGGCTCAGGGGGCACAGCTCTGCTGGGTGCTGCTGCCCTGGGCAGGCTCAGGGGGCACAGCTCTGCTGGGTGCTGCTGCCCTGGGCAGGCTCAGGGGGCCTGGCCTCCCCCCAGAGGGATCTGCAGCAGCGTGGGGGACTGCTCCATGATGCGCACCAGCAGCTGGTCAATGTAGTTCTCCAGCTCGTGGATGTGCTCCTCCTTCTTGCTCAGCTCGCCCTCCTTCTGCAGCAGCAGCTGGATCAGCTCGTCGTGGGTCAGGTGGTAATACTTGGCTGACTGGTCCAGCTGGCCAGGGTCCTGCTGGGAAGCAAGAGGGACATTCAGGGACTGGCATTAAAACCTCTGCTCCTGGTAATGTCTGCAGGATGCAGTAACAGACAGAGCACTCCTACTTTCCATGTCTGTCTTCCCAAACTGGAGAGGCAGGGGACCCACAGAGACCTTGTGTGCTCAGAAAGCACCAGCTGAGCTCCCTGCAGCACCCACTGGGTGCAGAGACCTGCAGGGTTTTGCTTGTCCTTCAATCAGGTGAACCCAGCAGCATTTTCCACGTGACACTGGGGAGGCAAATGGAGTGGGAGTGGACAAAGGGATGCAGGGGTCACCCTCAGAACACCCTCTGTGTCCTCAGAGGTGCCATGGGTGCTTTGCTGGCCCCAGCACAGCAGTATTTGGAGTATATCCAGTCAGAAAAGCTCCAGGAAGGACCTTCCCCCTACCAGGATTAGGAACCTTTCAGGGGATCAGGCAGGCAGCCACTAAACCTTCCACCTTCCACACCTTGTGGAGACCAGGCTGGACACTGGGGCTTGGAGCAGCCTGGGACAGTGGGAGGTGTCCTTGCCCATGGCAGGGGTGGCACTGGATGGGATTTAAAGTCCCTCCCAACCCATTCCATGTTTCTACAAGCAGGGATTCACTCACACACTGCAGAACACCACCCCCAAAGCAAAGCAGGTGATGGGAGAACAATCAATGGGGCGAGGAGGTGCAGAGCCCATGGGAGAAGGGAGGCAGAGCAGCCCAAGGGCTGGACCCTCACGCATGCCATGGCAGGCCCTGGAGCAGCACCCCTGGAGCAGGGCTGGCACAGCCTCCTACCTTTACCTTGGGGTCGCTTTTGTCCTGCTGGGAGGCCGGGGCCAGGGGCTGCACGCTGCTCGTGGTCACTGTCTTCAGCCTCTCCAGGCCATTGCTCAGGCTGGCCCTGTGCTGCTGCTTCCTCTCGCTGGAGCCCTCCTGCACAGCACTCAGGGGCTTCACGGGGTGGGGGCTGTGGGCAACAAGGGGGGACAATCAGCACCCCCAGTGCTCCCTGTCCCCGGGGCTGTACAGGGATGGAGGGCACCACCCAGGAGACTGAGGGACAGCTGAATCCCCCTGTCTGTGGCACCCAGAGCTCGCCTGCTCCGAGGAGAGCCAGCAGGGCAGGGCAGAGCCCCTGGAGCTGCTCCCACCCACACAGGAGATAAGGAGCCCCAGCACATGGGTTTGGCTGAGATCCTGGAGCCCACACCTGCACTGCCCATCCTCACTGGGAATGCTGTGGGTCACAACTCCCGGCTGCCAGGGGCTGAAATGCAGCTCCAGTGTGATCAGAGCCTGCTGCACCCACTGCCCAGAGCAGCTTTTTGCTGCCCAGGGACCCCCAGATTACTCTGGGCACACCACTGATGCTCCAGCCCAAGAGTTGAACGGCACTTGCCTGAAAGAGACCACAGAATTGTCCTTCTCCATGAGGCCAGAAGGAGGGTGAGGAGCCAGTTAAGGGGAAATTCGATTTTCATTTATTTTGGCCTCACTTTTCACCCAAAAGGTTCTTTCTGGGCTTGAACAAAGTCCAGTTCCTTCTCAGCGTGATGGAAAGAGAAGTGACCTGATGCTCCCTCCCTGCAAGGAGCAGGCACAGCTGTGCACCATCCTTGGGATGGAAACATCCAAATATCTGTCCATTGGGATGGAAACACCCAAACAACCATCCACTGGGATGGAAACATCCAAATATCTGTCCATCAGGATGGAAACATCCAAACATCCATCCTTGAGATAGAAACATCCACATATCCATCCACTGGGATGGAAACATCCAAACCTACATCCACGGGGATGGAAACACCCAAACATCCATCCACTGGGATGGAAACATCCAAACATCCATCCACTAGGAAGGAAATATCCAAAAGTCCATCCATGGGGATAGAAACACCCAAACTTCCCTCCACTGGGATGGAAACACCCAAACCTCCACCTGGGACCTCTGCAAAGCCTCTCACAGCCCCACCAGCTGTGTGTCCCAGCGGTGCCTCAGCCATGGTGATGGGATCAGGACATACCAAGGCTGTGGAAATCCTCTTCAACCATCATGATGCCTCCTGCTGTCCCTATGCTAGGAGGGAACAGCACTGGCAGCCATCAACCTGCTCCAACAAGCCCAAGGATCAGCTCCTCCCAAGGGACAGCACAGGGGCAGCTCTGATCTCTTCCCTCTGGTGCCCAGGGACAGCACCAGGGAATGCTGGAGCTGTTCCAGGGCAGCTCAGGCTGGAGGTCAGGAAAGGTTCATCCCCAGAGGGTGCTGGCACTGCCCAGGGAATGGGCACAGCCCCAGGGCTGCCAGAGCTCCAGGAGCATTGGGACAGAGCTCCAGGGATGCCCAGGTGGGATTTTGGGGGTCTGAGCAGGGCCAGGGTTGGATGGATGACTCTGGTGGGTCTCTCCCAGCTCAGCACACTCTGTGATTCTCTGCTCCCCTGGCAGAGCTGTCCAAGCACAAGGACAGAGCCCAGCAGTCCTGGGCAGCTGGAAAGGATGGAGAGGGATCCCACAGCCCTGAGGGGGAGCCACTGACAGTGCCAGGGGCTGCAGGAGCTGCTGTTCTGCACACGAGGCTCCAGCACTGCCCACTGGGACCAGACCCTGAGCAGGAGCTACAAGCACCAGCACACTGCAGGACAGGGGTGAGGAGAGGGCTGGGGGAGCCACCACAATGGCCTGTCACTGTCACCTTGTGCATCCCCACAGCCTGCACAGAGGCCACATCCAGAGCATGGCTGGGAACCTCGCTGGGACTGAGCTGCCCTGGGAAGCCAGAGGGAATGCTGGGATGTGTTTGGAACAGGGAGATATTCCCAGCCCTGGGGCTGCCAGCCCCATGGCCAGTGGGAACAGTCACTGCTGCAGGGCTGGAAAAGGGGCTTTTGAAAAGAGTTCTTTATCCTACTGCTTCCCACTGAGGGTGGTGCATGCAGGGCTCTGCCTGCTCCGTGTGACCCTGTGATGATCCTGGAGACATTCCTCGAGCTGGGTTTGTCCTGGCATGGTGGCACCAGTTCCTCCAAGGGAGCTTCACACCTCACACCAGGTCTGAAGGTCTGGTGGACCTGCCAAGAAGCTGGACCAGTTTGCTCTCCTGGTCCATGAACATCAACTGGAGCGTGGAATCAGCTGCTCACCGGCTCCTAATCCAGAACTGCATCCCAAGTGGGTCTGAGTTATGATGGAGCTTAAGGCCAAGGTGAAACATCTCAGGGTGACACTGGCCCAGCCCTGTCCCCCTCTCTGAGCCAGCCTTGCCCTGTCCCAGCTTTCACTGGCATTCCCAAGGTCACTGCAGAGCACAGGGAAAAACCGGGGGCATTTTCCTCAGCAGCTCCCCAAGGGAGCCTTCAAATGCTCATCAAAATGCCCCTCACTCACAGAGAAGGAATCCAAGGGAATCCCTCTCCCATGGAGGACAATCCCTCTCCCAGCTGCTGTGCCTGGAGCACCACACAGCACCCAAGGGCCAGCTCTCCATGGAGCAAGGATCCAGAGGAGGAGGGGGAATGGCTGGGCTCAGGATCAGCTCTCCAGGTCTGCCCTGGGTGGGCCAAGCCACACTCCCAGCTCCAGGGGCTCCATGAAGATCACCAAGATGAGGTGACCTAAGCTGACACCTCATTTTCAGAGCACAGTGATTCTCTGCACTCATGACATGAGGGAGGCACAGCCTGTGCCACCACCTCGGCACCTGTGACACCCCCAGTCCTGTCACCTGCACGTGCCACAGGATGCCAAGGCAGCCCCACATCCAAGGCAGCAAGAACTGCACAGCTGCTGGGTTCCAACGGAGCAGCAGGAGCTGCACAGCTGCTGGGTTCCAATGGAGCAGGAGCTGCACAGCTGCTGGGTTCCAATGGAGCAGCAGGAGCTGCACAGCTGCTGGGTTCCAATGGAGCAGCAGGAGCTGCACAGCTGCTGGGTTCCAACGGAGCAGCAGGAGCTGCACAGCTGCTGGGTTCCAATGGAGCAGCAGGAGCTGCACAGCTGCTGGGTTCCAATGGAGCAGCAGGAGCTGCACAGCTGCTGGGTTCCAATGGAGCAGCAGGAGCTGCACAGCTGCTGGGTTCCAATGGAGCAGCAGGAGCTGCACAGCTGCTGGGTTCCAATGGAGCAGCAGGAGCTGCACAGCTGCTGGGTCCCAAGGAAAGGCAGGAGCTGCACAGCTGCTGGGTTCCAATGGAGCAGCAGGAGCTGCACAGCTGCTGGGTTCCAATGGAGCAGCAGGAGCTGCACAGCTGCTGGGTTCCAATGGAACAGGAGCTGCACAGTTGCTGGGTTCCAATGGAGCAGCAGGAGCTGCACAGCTGCTGGGTTCCAATGGAGCAGCAGGAGCTGCACAGCTGCTGGGTTCCAATGGAGCAGCAGGAGCTGCACAGCTGCTGGATCCCAAGGAGAGGCCAGGAGCTGCACAGCTGCTGGGTTCCAACAGAGCAGCAGGAGCTGCACAGCTGCTGGATCCCAAGGAAAGGCCAGGAGCTGCACAGCTGCTGGATCCCAAGGAGAGGCCAGGAGCTGCACAGCTGCTGGATCCCAAGGAAAGGCAGGAGCTGCACAGCTGCCAGGCTCCTCCAGGCAGTGGAGCTCCCAGAGTGTCCTTGGTGTCTCTCCTGTCCCTGGGATGTGACACATCCCCAGCAGTGAAGGCACCATCGTGCCCCATCCCCAGGAGCAGCAAAAGGCCCTCCACACACTGGGAGCTGTAGCTGATGCTCCCCTGCCCTGGCAGCCACACAAGATGACCAGAGGGGAAGGGCCACGGGACCCCACTCCCCATTTCCAGCTCTCTTGAGGAGGCACTGAAGCCCCTCACCCCAAACTCTCACCATCCCACACCAGGTACCCTCTCCCCTTCACCTGCAGACCCTTTTGCTCCAGCCAGGGCTTAATGCCCATTCCAAGTCTGAAGTATTTCCTTTTTCCTACCATCTTTTCCTCATCTGTGTGCCTCTGGTGATTCCAACAGGAGATGATCCTGGGAAGGGAAGCATGGCCATGGGGACTGGGGAAAGATCCCTTCCAGCCTTCCTCCCTCACCTGGGACAGTTGTCACGTCTCCTCAGTGCTATAAAGCAGTTCAGAGCCTCAGAGCCTTCCCCAGAGGCCTCAGGAGCTCTTCAGAGGTTCCTCAGTCACAGCAAGGATCCAAAAGGTGCTGGAGGAACCTGAGCAGGGACGTTCAGGAGCTCCTGGCCACGTGTCACGACAGAAGCCAGCCCTGATATCCAGGAGATGCAGCTCTTGGATCCCAGCCCATTCCATCCCAGGAGCCAGCCAGGCCTGGATGGATGCACAGGCAAGGCTGAGGATGGCCACGAGCAGGTACCACCAGCACAGAGACTGCTGTGCTTCCCTCACTGCCTCAGTGATCCCTTTGGGACCACAGGACACTTCTCTTTCCATGAAACATAACAAATCCATGTTTCTGGGCAGCAGCCCTGCAAATTTTGAAGAAGGCTATCTGCTGGTGGATGAATAATCTAATTAAAAATGATTGGAGGATCTGGCTTAAATAAGAAGAAAAAATATCATCTGACAGACCCAGCCAGATGCTGTCTTTGCTCCCAAGATCACGTTGCACCTCATGCTCAACCCTGGTGGAAGGACTGGAGCTCAGTGAGTTCTGCTGGCCCCATCCTCCCTCCTTTCCTCTCCCCAGGACAACCAGTCTTGCTCTTGGGACAGGTGGGATTTCACCATTTTGGTGCCCCCAGAAAGCTTCATCTGCCTCATGATCAGTGAGGCTGATCAATGAATCCCTGCTAGGGCTCAGTAAATCCCCTGGGCAGGCAGAGCCCAGGCAGAGCAGGGGAAGGAGAACCAGGAAAATGAGATGAACTGAAGGACACAGAGCAAGACTCCATGCCCTGAACTCACCAGCTTTGCTTTGTGGTATTTGTACAGACCTGGGATTGACCTGGGAGGAGGAACAGCCCCTTCCTTCCACCCTTCCCATTCCCATCAGCCTCAAGGCTAAATCCCAGGTGCTTCATCACCAATGGGCAACTCTGCAGGAGGGAGGGCAGAGGGGCATTTCACCCTGGTGAAAAAAGCTCTTTTTTTGGCTATGGACAGAAGGTTTTCAGTACCTAGTGGGCACTGGAGAGGAAAGCAGCCAAAGCTGGATGGATGGTGAGGGCAGGGGCAGCAGCTGTGCACATGCCATGAGGGAGCTCAGGAGAGCACAAACAGCCACAAGCTCTCCTGGCAGGCACAGGAAAGGCATTTCTTCTGCAAGCACAGGCCGGGGGATGATGGAGCCAAAATCAGCACTGGGTGCAATGTGGGTGCAGCTCTGAATTTCCAGCTGGGGTGCATGGAACCCTTTGCCCTTGCCACACCACACACCCGTGGCCACTCTCCCCAGCATCCCAGAGAGACAAGGCTGCCAGCAGCTCGGGCTGGGCTCTCTGGGACCCGAGGGAGGGAACAGGAGCTGCAGCAGGCGTCCAGCAGCCTCCTTGGAGCCAGCCCAGCTGGGCTCAGCCCTGCCAGCAGCAGAGGGGGCCAGCAGCACAAAGGGCCAGCCAGGGCTCACCTCTCCCACACACACGCACGCCCTTCGCCTTCCCCGCAGTGCTCACCTGGTCGTCTGCTGGCCAAGGGGTTTCTCAGCCGGCCGTGTCTCCCTGGGCAGAACCAGGAGCGCCGAAGCTTCCCCGGGCTGCGGGCACGGGCAGGGCCGGGCGGCGGCGCGGCGGGCAGGGACCCCCGCGGGGGCCCGGGGGCGGCCACACGGCTCGGGGTTAGTGGCAGCCGCGGGGAAAGGGGTGGAGAAGGCCAGGGGCTGGCTGACATGCAGGGGGGTAGCGTTAGTGGGCTGCAAGCCGTGCCCGGGGGCCTCCTCCTGCGGGCTGCGGAAGCTGAAGTCGCCCTGCTCAAGCTTTTCGGGCAGCACAGCCTGGACAGGGACAGGGGCTGGGGGCCTCTCCACGAAGGGGTTGCTCGGGGAATTGGGGCTCAGCGCCAGGGTGAAGGGGTTTCTCGGGGCTGAAGCTCCCTGTGTGTGCCTCTCTGTCCTATCTGGCTTCCAGAAATCGGCTTTCTTGAAGTCTATCCTGCTCTCTGCCCAGCGCCCCTCAGGCTCCTCGCTGGCGGGGGTCCTGCCCTGCTCTGTCTCCTGGGGAGGGGCACGGGGCTCGGGCTGCTCTCCTGCTCGCCCCTCGCCATCCTGGCACGCCAGCTCCAGCTGGCACGGCCTCTGCCTGTGCTCTGACCTTGGGGGCTGCGGGTGTGGGTGCCCAGCTGCCTCCTGCTCTTCCAGAGCTGTCCAGCTGGTCGGCTGGCCCAGGTCTAGCTTGGAAGGTGGGTTCAGTCCTGAAATACTGAGCTCCTCAGGGAACAGCTCCTGCTTGGAGGCCATTTCCCACTTGGCACTGTCTGTGGCCCCCTGAGGGGATAAACGGGGCTGGCTCCAGCTCTCCTCGGCACCCGACCGGTCCAGTCCATCCAGGGAGAAGTTGGATGTGCAAGTCTCAAACTGCTCGGCCACCTCTGTCTCGTTCATCTCTGATGGGTGTTTGCCCACAGAGGTGTCCCCTGCCCCCAGCTGGCCGGCTCCTGTCTCCAAGCCAGCTGCTGAGTCCACAGCAGCAGCTCTGGCACCCTCGGACGCTGCGAACTCTCTCCCGGCTTCAGCGGCGGCCGCTCCGGCTGAGGGCAGGCTGGGAGGCGCCGGCACGGAGGGCTCGCTGCTCGCACGGCTCCTCGGCAACTCCATCTCTGCTCCTGGGCCCTCTGACTCTTCCCATGGCTCCTGCTTGCCTCGCTGGGCGCCACCAAGCTCCTCGTCCTCGCCGTCCCCCACGGGGCCCGCGGCCGCGAACCGCCGGGGTGGTTTGGGGGGCGGCCCGGCCGGGCCGAGCGGCGGCTCCGGGCGGCCCTGGGGCGCTGCCCACGGCGCCAGCACCACGCGCCTCTCGCGGATGTCGGAGCTGAAGTGCAGCAGGCCCTCGCTGGCCTCCAGCCGCATGCTGGCCTGCAGCCGGAACACCGAGCTGCGGATGTCCAAGGCGCCCTCCCGGCCGCCGCCGGGCTCCGCGCCCGCCTCGGGGAACCTCAGCCCCGCCGCGTCCCCCGGCACCCGCGGGGGCACGGCCGCCACCACGGTGCTGCCGGGCGGGGCCTCGGGGGCCGGCTCGGAGGGGAAGGAGCTCCTGGGTAGCACACAGGTGGTGGTGGTGGTGGCACGGGACGAGCTCTGGGCCTCAAAGGTGCCCTCGCCCAGGAAGGGCGGGCGTGGGCCGAAGGGGCCCTGAGGAGCCGCCGTGTGCTCCCCGGCGCTCTCGGAGGGCTCGGCGGCGCTCTCCGTGGCTATGGTCATCCAGCCGTTCGTCCCCGTGCTGCAGGGCTCCTCCTCACCGCTGTCCCCCTCCTCCCTAGCGCTATTTTCAGTGCTCAGTGCCGTTGATGCCTCTTTGTCCCCGGGGTTGCCCGAGGCAAAGGCGGCTGTCCAGACCATGGGCGTGCTGCTTTTCCTCCTCCTGGCCATGGAGCCCGCGGACACGGGGCTCAGCACGTCCTCGATCACCGTGGCCTCCTGGGTGGTGCTCACCAGGTTGGCCCCCACGTCTAAAGCGGAGAAATTTGTCCAAGAGCGGAGAGCCGCAGGGATTTCAGCCGCCTTTTCGAACACTTGGGAGCCCTTCTGGCAGGGCGGCCCCGCTGAGCTCTCGGTCGGGCTGGCTCTGGGGTCATCGATGAAAGCCATGCCCTCTGCTGCCACCGAGGCAAAGAAGTTCTCCTTGTTCCGCTCTGGTTTGAGCCTGCTGGTGGCAAAGGCATCGAAGGTATCGTCCCACTCCGAGGGCAGCGGGGGGACGGCGGGCTCGGTGTCGGTGTCGGCAGGAGGGAGCTCTCCCGGCGCTGGGGGACTGGTTTCTGGCACGGGGACACCAACGCTCGGGGCTGGAGACGCCCTCTGGGGCTCTGTGTGCCTTGGGGAGCCAGAGGGACTGCAATCCTCAGAGGAATAAAAGCTCCCAGCGACCTCGGGTGCAGCACGCGGCCCAGGCGGGAAACTAGAGAGAAAGTGAGTAGGTGAAGGAGAATTTAGTACCTGGTCAGCGAGGAGCTCCTCAAAGAAGGGATTGCTCTGCAGGGAGTTGAGGAATGGGTTGGTGGGGGCCAAGCATCCGGCCTGTCTGTCTCCAGGAGCGGGAGGGAGGTTAGAGCTCGGCATGCTAGCGGCAAGGGCAGCGGGGCACGGGGCAGGGGAGCAGGGAGCACAATGAGAAGGAGCATCTGAGCTGGTTTCTACCTGAGGAGACACTTCCAGGCTGTGGAGGGAAGACAGAACAGTCCTCCTGGTTAATGCTGTGACAGGGCTGGAAGCACACACCACACACACCACAGACGCTCCAAGCAGCGCAATGACCGATCCATGCCTGGCTCTTGTTAGGCACAGCAATGATTATGGAGTCACGGCGTGGAAGGGGCATGCACGACACCCAGGGAGGGGCAGCCCTGCTCCCAGGACGCTCCTCCACATTCCCCTTCTGCCCAGGAGCCAGAGAGGTTTCCCCACCTCCTGCAGCCCAAGGTGAGTTTGTCCCGGTGCAGGTGGAGCACCAGGAGCAGCCCGGGCTCTTGGATCAGGGATCAGGGTCACCTGAACCAGTGCAGGCACACAGAGGAGCCTTTCCCAGCTCACCCCAGTGCCTCCTCACTGGTTTCCAGCATGACCAGGATGGGAGCACACACAGAGCTCACTCTTGCACGGGAGGGAGGGACAGGGCTGAGGAACCAGAGCCCAGCAGGAGGGAGCACATGGCCAGGACAGGGCCCTGTCCCCACCTCCCACACGTCCCTTGTCACATCACTTCTGCCCAAGATGCCTGAAACCCCAGGGGGATCCCAAGGTGGAAGGGGTTCAGCACACCTGGAATTCAGAGTCTCACCCCAAGTGAGGCTGACAGCGCCCTGCTGCCTGCTCAAGCAGGACTGAGGGACCTTTCTGTGGGATTTCATTGATCTTCCTCTGGGAACCACTGCAGCAATGTGGAGTCACCACCCCGAGGAGGCTCACCAGGCTCAGAGGTTTTCACATCACAAAGGGGGGTGTGGCGTGGACATCCCACATCCACCTGCTGCTCTGACTGCCACACTCCCTCCTCTGGGCCCATCCCCTTGCCTCACCCTTGGGAGCAGCAATCCCATCCCCAGGACAGGGCACCTGGCCCTGCTCCATAGCAGATCCCATGGGATTGATGCCTCCTGCACCAGAGAGCTCCAGAGAGTTCCCCTCTTGGCTGGGCATGGATCAGCCAGCTCTGGGCACACCAAGGTTTAAGAGGAAGGAATAAATGAATTACTTTGCCAAGGTGCCCAGGGTATGTCCAGCCCTGGGGCTCCATCCTGGGATCTCCCTGCCCAGCTGCTGGGAGGGATTGCAGGTGGCACTGCAGGATCACCAAGTTGCTTGGACAACTGTTTCCATGTTACTGTGCATCCACCAAGCGCCTCAGACACATTTTAAAGCACAAAATGCCACCTTGAGGCAAGAGCTGACACTGGTGATGGTGCAGCTGGTCGGTCCCACAGCAGGGAGGGCGTTGGGCTGGCACCACCTCGGCCCAGGAGTGATGTCCCGGCCATGGGCACCCCTTGCTCCCACTCCTGGCAGCTGCACAGCCCCTTCCCACATCCTGCTCTCAGCAGCTCCTTGGAAAGGTGCCCTCTGAAGCCATCCATGCCACCAAAGTCACCCATGCCACTCTGGGAGAGCTCCAGCAGCCATAGGACACCACTGAAGGGACCTGGCAACCCAGGGACAAAGAAAAGCCTGGACCCCTTCATCCTGGCTGCAAGCTCAGCTCCTTTGGGGCACAGACAGCTCGTGGGTGCCCTCTCCTGCTGCCACAAAACAGCCGTGGTGGCCGTGCCCAGCCTGGTCCCCAGGCAGCCCCACCCTGCTCCGTGTCCTCTTCTGCTTGGCCCAGGGAGGAGCAGCCAGGAGCAAACCCCACAGCTGCAGCCCAGCTCCTGCCAGGGGTTTTGAGCCCTGTGTGAGCACACAAAGACTCCAGAAGTTTTGGGAGAAGCTGATGGACCCTGAGGCACAGAGCACCCCAGACTGGCAGCCGCTCTCTCCGGGGACAGAAACCTCTCCTGGCATTCCCAGCCTGGAGATCAGCAGAGGCCTGGACCTTTTTGCCCAATCTGGCATTCCCAGCCTGGAGATCAGCAGAGGCCTGGACCTTTTTGCCCAGTCCCCCTCAAATCTGAGCTCCCCAGAAGAGGAGAGCAGCTGCTCAGTACCTGACCACTCAGCTGCATGAGTTCACAACATCCACAAATAGATTTAAACAGGGCAAACCATGGCAAATTTTCCTTCCCAGCTGGAAAGGGAAGGTGACAAGGGAAGGTGACAAGGTCCAAGCACCAGGATCCCAGGGTGGCTGCAAGGGGCACACAGCCCTGCCCCACCTCTGCTTGTCCTGCTGGCACTGCTTCCATGTTTTGCTCGAGACTGAGATCCATCCTTTGTGCTGAGTAAGAGCAGCCAGGGCCTGATCCAGCTCTGCTGGGCTCCAGCTCTAAAAGGCTGCAGAGCATTAATCAACTGCACTGATTAACGAGCACTGGCTGCTAATGACTGTGCCAGCTGCCAGAAGCTGAGTGGGTGAAGTTCCCTCCTCAGGGGGGGCTGATGCCAGAGCAGCAATTCCAGGCACCTGCACAGGTGCAGGAACAGCTTCAAGGCCTCTTCACACCCCTGAGATGATCCTGTCTTCATTCCCCAGGTCACCATGGAATGGTTTGGGTGGGAAGGGGCCTTAAGGATCATCCCATTCCACCCCATCCATGGCAGGGACACCTCCCACTGTCCCAGGCTGCTCCAGCCCCAGTGTCCAACCTGGCCTTGGGCACTGCCAGGGATCCAGGGGCAGCCCCAGCAAATCTGGGAATTCCAGCCCAGGCAGGAATTCCTTGCCAAGATCCCAGCCCAATCTCCCCTTTCCCAGTGGGAGCCATTCCCTGGCTCCTGTCCCTCCATCCCTTGTAAAATCCTGATGGGGCTCAGGAGGTATCAGCTCAGGAGATATCAGCTGGACCTGCTGATATTGGCTAAATATGTAAAGACAGAACTTGAATCCATCTTTGTTGGATTATCATTTTCCTCCTTCAGCTCCACAGTGGAAATTTCCTTTCTGCTTCTCAACCCCATTCCTGCTGGGACCCACTGGGGTTTGTTCAGGGGCTCTTGGCTGCAAGTTCCAGGCAGAAGAATCATGGAATGTTTAGGTTGGAAAAGCCCTCTAAGACCATCAAATCCAACCACCCCCAGTACTGCCAAGGCCACCACCGACCCCTGTCCCCAAGTGTCACATCCACAGGGCTTTTAAAACCCTCCAGGGATGGAAACTCCACCCCTGCCCTGGGCAGCCATGCCAGGGCTGCACAAACCTTTACAGGAAGAAATTTTCCCAAAATCCAGCCTGACCCTCCCCTGGCACAGCCTGAGGCTGTTTGACAATCTGTGACTTTCCACTGGGATTTCAAATTGCAGCATCACCATTCCACCCCATTCCTTGGGATGGACATCCTTGCCTGACCCCATTCCTAGGGATGGACACCCCTGTTCCACCCCATTCCTTGGGATGAACATCCCTGCTTGACCCCATTTCTTGGGATGGACACCCCTGTTCCACCCCATTCCTTGGGATGAACATCCCTGCCTGACCCCATTCCTTGGGATGGACACCCCTGCCTGACCCCATTCCTTGGGATGGACACCCCTGCCTGACCCCATTCCTTGGGATGGACATCCCTGTTCCACACCATTCCTTGGGATGGACACCCCTGCCTGACCCCATTCCTTGGGATGGACATCCCTGTTCCACACCATTCCTTGGGATGGACACCCCTGCCTGACCCCATTCCTTGCTCTGAGCCCAAAATCCCGTTTCCCACCCCGCTGAGGGAGATGCTGGAAGTGCTGGGTGAAAGCAGGAGTGGAGCACGGCAGATTCCTCTAGAGGGAAACCTACACTTGTCTGATGGAAGCAGCTCAGTGCAGCACTGAAACGCTGACTCACCCTCCTCCTCCTCCTCCTCCTCCTCCTCCTGCTGCTGCTCCTCCTTCCCCTCCCGTTCCCAGCACTTGTCTCCGCCAGCCAAAATAAATCTCGGGTACCTCCCTGCCCTCATTTATTTGTTTGGCAGCACTTCACAGACGCCTTTGAGCCTCGCAGCAATAAAAAAAAAAAGGAAATAAAATATTGCTGAGCAACCCCCTGATGGAAAAAGTCTATTGGAAACAGCTTGTTCAGTGCAGGGAGATTTCTCCCTCCGGATCCCAGCCTGGCTCTTGGGCTGAGCAGGGCTCTGCAGGGCCCAGCCTGGCTGCAGGAGGGTGGGGAGCTCTGCACCAGCAGGAGAATGGGAAGGGCATGGAGGGAGCCAGCCCTGCTGTGCTGCAGCCCAAGGGAAATCCCTCCAGCAGGGCTAGACCCGGGGGTGCCACTCCCAAGCTGCTTTTGTCCCCGTTTTCCCACAGACAGGGCTCCCCTGGGTGGAAAAGCACAGGATGGAGGGGCTGGAGCATCCTGCAGCAGCTCCAGACCTGGCAGGGATCAGGAGCCTCCTCCCACCAGCAGGAGCAGGAATTGTGCTGGAAGGGATGGGAAGAGGTGGGAACAGCAGCCCAGGACATTTTTGTACAGGGTGGGAGCACCAGAGGGAAGGAGTCAGGGAATGTGTTTTAAATAGGAATTCCAGAGGTGGAAGGACTGGATTTCTCAATAATAAATCACCTATAACAATCCATAAATGATCTGCAATAATTATCTGTGCAATAACCACTTTGCTCTTCCCTTGGGCCTCACCTGTCCATCATCCCCATTCAAATGGACAGATCTTCCTTTACAGACATTTGCCCTCAAAACCACGGGAATTTAAAAACCAGGAGAAATCTGGGCAGTAGGAACGCAGGGAGATGCCAACTTCAGCCCCCAATTCCCACTTTTAGGAGTGCGAGTGGGGCTGTGCTTTTCCTGGATGGTTCCCAAGCACATCAGGGCTGAGTCCAGCTCTGGGTCCAGCTCCCCATCCTGCCTCCTGCGCATCCCTGGGAAGGGCAGGCTCAGCAGCACAAAGAGCCATTTTCCATCTTCACACTGACCCCACTCCATCCCTGGGGCTGCTCCAAGGCAGGGGCAGAGCTGCACAACCCTTGTGCCACAGCTGTGAGCTGATGGCTCCCATGGGTTCATCCCTGTTAGCCACAAGGCCCTATTTTCACATCATGGCCTTCATCTCCCTCTTCCTCAACCCCTGCAGCCTCCCAGGCTCTGCTCTGGGGGTGCTGCTGGCTTTGGAGGGGCTGCCACGAGCTCCATGCCAGCACTGCCAGCCTGGCCAAGGACTCTGCTCCAGCCATCCCAAGCCTTGCTCCCATTCCCTGCCCTTAGGAAAGGCACTTTTTAGGAGCACACGAGGAACAGGGAGGAACTGAGTCAATATTTGGCCTCACTGCTGGATCCAGGAGTATGGGCTCTGGGAAGGGGCTTGAACCTGAAAATGGAACTGGTGCCCCTGTTTTTATAGGACAGAGCACAATTTCCTCTTTCTCCTGCTTCCAGGCCTAAGATGCAGCCCCATTTTATCATCAGGTTTCTCCACAGGAAGCAGGAGCTGCAGAGCTCTGATAACATTGGAGGAAACCCTGGAAACATGTAAAGGATTGTTTCAGCCCCAGGCTTTGCCTCAAATAAACCTGCTGAGCTTCTTCCTTACACACAGCCCTTAACCACTGACATTCAAAGCAACAACCCCCAACCAGGCTTTTATTCAGCCTCCAAAGAGCAAACACCATCTTCCTACTGCTCCATCCCCTCCAGGATCAAAGCCTGCAGCTCCAGGGATTAGCAAAGCCAGGGATGATGAGCAGAGCCTTTGGGACCTGCTTCCCAGAGAAGGATCAGGGAAAATGGGGTGTAAATAAGGGCTGAAGGCAGAAATGCCCTGTTCTGTCCCCAGGGAGAGCACAGGCAGGTTTGCAGAGCCAGCTCCCACACTGAGGGCTCAGCAAAACCCACCCAGCACACAACAAAATCCTCTTTATAAAGCTCCAGTTAAACCCAGCCCAAAGCAGCAGCTCCTTATTTTGGGAAGGGTGTGTTTGGCAGAGCAAGTGGGTAAAGATGAGCTGTGCCAGGCTGGGCTTTGCTGCAGGCAAACTCAATCCATCCTTCTAATTACAGACCTTTTAACTAATTACAGGCTGAGGCTTCTGGGCTTGCAAAGTGACTGATTTTGATGCTTTCTCACCACCTTCAGCTCTGGGTTAAACTTGGCCTATCCAAGGTGGGCAGACAGGTGAGAGGGTGCTGCTGGCAGAAGTTTCCAGAGTCAGGAGAGCAGGAGGGGAAAAGTCCTTTCTGCAAATAAGACTTAAAACTGCTCAGTTCAGAGGGTGCTTCTCTCCAGAGCAAGGGTTAATTCAGCTCTAGGAGTGACAGTGCTACTGGACAGCCACAGATGGACATCAGAGAACCCTCAGAGACCAGAGAATCTGGAATGGTTTGGGCTGGAAGGGACCTCAAATCCCATCCAGTGCCACCCCTGCCATGGCAGGGACACCTCCCACTGTCCCAGGTGCTCCAGCCCCAGTGTCCAACCTGGCCTTGGGCACTGCCAGGGATCCAGGGGCAGCCCCAGCAAATCTGGGAATTCCAGCCCAGCCCCTGCCCACCCTCCCAGCCAGGAATTCCTTGCCAAGATCCCTTCTGACCCTGCCCTCTGGCACTTTGAAGCCACCAAGACCTAAAAGCTCTTCCACAGCTTTGACCTGAACCAGCAGCCTGGCCATGAGGTTGTTCAGTGTAAGGAAGCAAAATGAAATCAGAGAAGTCAGCTGTGTATAATTAAAATGAGTAATGATGTCCTAATGAATGGCCAGGAAAACTGAAGCACTGGGAAGAGCAGGGCAGAGACAAACCCTGTCCCTGTGAGGATGGACAGGGCCTTTGTGCAGCAATCAGTCACCAAATGATCCCTGCAATGCTCCCCAAAGGTTCTCAGCTATCCCAGTCCCTGGTTCTCAGCTCAGCCCAATCCCTGGACACTGGGAGGGAGAATCCCTTCCCAGCCAGGCAGCTCCAGCATTTCCCCCTGCTCCAGGAGCCACTCCTCCCAGCTCCCACTCTCAATCCCCCTGCTCCAGTTCAAGCTCACTATTTCCCATTCTCAATTGCAAACTGCACCTAAAGCCCACTCCTATGTTCCTAAACACCCAAAAGGCATTCTGTGAATTCCTTTCCTGCAGCTCGTGCTGCTTGGGATCCGTTCCTGGTTTTGGGAGAGAAAACCCCAGCCAGAGGAGCTGCTGCCACTGCTCACCCAAGTCTCTCCTCAAGGACAAAGTCCTCAGCACGGCAGCTCTGAGCAAAGCTCAGCTCTGGCTGAGCCTGAGATTAAACTGTGAGCACTGGAGTGGATTTAAACAAAGCCATGGAGTGGAAGTCTCTGGGAAAGGAGCAGGGCTGGGGATGAGTGCAGGGAGCTGTCAGGAAGCAGCAGTGTTTAGGGGCACTCCTGGTGATTATCCACTGGGTTGGACGGACAAGGAGCTGAACTCCAGCTGGATCTGACATCCCTGCCTCAAAATCAGAGCATCATGGCCCTGCCTGCCTCCTTCCCAGCACTGCCAAGAGGGGAAAACCTGCTGGCTTCTCATCCATTTCCCACAGAAAAGGGGAAAACCTGCTGGCTTCTCACCCATTTCCCACAGAAAAGGGGAAAACCTGCTGGCTTCTCATCCATTTTCCAAAGGAAAAGGGGAAAACCTGCTGGCTTCTCATCCATTTTCCAAAGGAAAAGGCCCCAAAGAGAGATGCTGAGGGCAGCTCCATCCCATCCCATCCCATCCCATCCCATCCCATCCCATCCCATCCCATCCCATCCCATCCCATCCCATCCCATCCCATCGATGCTTCCCTGGCTGCCTCAGGCACTTGTGGAGGCACTGCCTGGATACAGCAGGATTTTTAAGCCTTGATTTTTTATTCTAAGCCTCAATCAGCGGGTTTCTTACCCCAAAATTAGAAAAAAAAATTAAAAGAACAGTCTTGAGTGGGAATGCTCTGTCCTTCCTCAAGGACAGGGTGCAGAGACCAGAGTCCTTCAGGCTCATGCACAAACCCTGCCCTGGCATGTGACACCAAAGCACTGCCAGGGCTTTGAGTCTCCTGGGAATCCCAGAATCACAGCATGGTGAGGGTTGGAAGGGGCTTTAAAGCCCATCCCATTCCACCCCTGCCATGGACAGGGACCTTCCACCACCCCAGGGTGCTCCAAGCCCCATCCTTGGGCACTGCCAGGGACAGGGAATGCCAGGGGTGCAGCACAGCAGCCCCCAGACCTCACACTTGTCTCTCCTCCTGCCTGCTCCTTGCCAGTGCTAGACTTTGTGGGACTGAGCTCCAGTGGGATGGGATATTCCTGATGTTCCTGCCCCAGGGAGCAGCTCCTGCCTGTCCCAGTGTCCCCAGCTCAGCCTGTGCAGCCTCAAGGCCACCACGAGCACGACACCTTCCTGTGGAAAGGAGGAATTTTGGGGCTGGTGCTGGAGCCAGGCTGAGGGATGTGCTCATCCCCTCACAAGTTTAACCCCTGTGGGAGCCAGGTTATGTGGAATAAACCAGGAGTGCCCTCTTCATTAAGGGAGGCTCAGACTGAACCAAAATCCTTCTGCTTAATAAATGAGGGTAAAGTCAGCCCAGATTAGAAAATCCCTCTAACAAACAAGCCTGCAGACTGAAGCAGCTCTGCCCTGAGTGCTGGTTGTTTTCTCTGGCTGATTTTAACCCCATTTCCTGCCTCTCACTGACACCACCCTCGACCTCTGGACTGCCAGCTCAGCTCCAGGGGGGACACGGGTGATGAATTCCTCACAAGAACAGCACAAACACCACCAACCCTGAGGATTTGGAGGGATGAATCACCACACAAAGCAAGAACAGTTAGAGATTCATTACTGGGAGAAGGGGAGGCTGGGTGGGATGGGAAGAGGAAAGAGCAGGGTTGGGATTAGTTACTTTGGGAATATTCATGGTATCTCAAATACCCGAAGTACTGCACCCTGACCAGACCCTCTAGGGGGTGTGGGGTTCATAACAGGAATGTGATTACAAATCCCAGTATCCCACATCCCAGCCTGACTCCCAGGGAAGCTCTTTTAGCTCATTAAAGGATAATGAATCTGTATTTTGAGGCCACAGAACCACTTGGTGTGACCACACTGAGCCTCACCTCTCCATGGAGGGGATCCCTCCCCTCCTTGAGAGCAAAACACATCCCACATCCAGCAGAGGTGGTTTCTGACAGAAACCAGGAGAGGATCCAGGAAAATCCCCTTCCCTTTGAGACATTTAAGAGCAAGGAAGCATTTCCCCTGCTCTGCCCTCGCCTGAGCACTCCCAGGAGCACCCAGGAGCCGCTGGAGACAGGAATTTGGGGCGGGAATCACCAGCCTGGACCTCCACACCCCTGGCACTGACCTGGGTTTCTGAGGGGACTCTTTGGGCTCCTTGGACCCAAACCAGCCGCTGCTCTTACTCCTCTCATCCCCCGCGGCCGAGGCGTGCACGGGGGTCCCTCTGTCCCCCTGGCCTTTGCCCCCGTGGTGGAAGAAGCCTCCCTTGGCTTTCTTGTCCTCCTTCCTGCCGTCCTCAGGCGCTCTGTCCTTGGCTGGCTCGGTGGGGAAGCCTAGGGGAGCTGCACCCTGGCTGGGTTTGCCCTCCAGGCGGGCGCTCTCCTCCATCCTGGCCCTGCCCAGGTGGTTGCTGAGGGTCACGGCCTTGGTGGACACCTTGAGCTCTTCCTGCAGGGCCAGGCTGGGAGGGGACGGGATGAACCTGGGCTCGTCCCTCTGCTGGGCCCTCTCCAGGCTGCCCAGCCCCCAGGGGGGCTCGGCGGGCAGGGGGGTGAAGCCCAGGGGCTCGTCCTGCCTGCGGGGCACGGGCAGGGGGGCAGAGGCGGGCGGGTTCCTGGGCACCGCTGCCTCCTCCCCGTACACGTGGCTGCCGTTGATGCACAGGGACGAGCGGGAGCCGGGCTCCCTGCGGGCCTGCGGGCTCTGCGGGGCGCCGGGCTCGGCGGGGCTGCGCTGGGCCGCATCATCATCGCTGAACGCTCTCTTGTGGCTCAGCTTGGGCGAGGCCAGCAGCTCCTTCACTGCGGGGAGCAAACACACAACAGAACCGACTGTGAAAAACGCCAATCGCTTGGTCTGAAAATGGTCAAAGTTTCATAGGAATATAATAGTAATAAAAAATGTTTAAAGTTGAATAGTAATAAAAATGTTTCAAGTTTAATAAGTTATAGAAACAGTAATACAAATCATATTAATAATAATAAAAAAGTTTTACTAAAAATTATTAAAAAAATAAAAACTAATACAAATCATAGTAATAATAATAAAAAAAATTTTACTAAAATTATGAAAAAAATAAAAACAGTAATACAAATAATAGTAATAATAATAAAAAATTTTACTAAAATTATAAAAAAATAAAAGCAGTAATACAAATAATAGTAATAATAATAAAAAATTTTACTAAAAATTATAAAAAAATAAAAGCAGTAATACAAATAATAGTAATAATAATAAAAAAATTTACTAAAAATTATAAAAAAATAAAACCAGTAATACAAATCATAGTAAAAATAATAAAAAATTTTTACTAAAAATTATAAAAAAACCCAGTAATACAAATCATATAATAATAATAAAATTTACTAAAAATTATAAAAATATAAAAATAGTAATACAAATAATTGTTAAAAATAATTATAAAAATAAAATAATTATATACAAATAATTGTATATAATATATATAATTATATATTATATTATATATAATTATATACAAATAATTACAAAATTATAAAAATAGTAATACGAATAATAATGATAATTAAGAATTTTTACTAAAAATTATAAAAATAAAAATAGTAATACAAATAATTATTAAAAATTATAAAAATGAAATAATTATATACAAATAATTTTATATATAGTATATCATTATATAATATAAATTATATATAATTATATTAAAAATTTATAAAAATAGTAATACAAATAATAGTAATAATAATTAAAAATTTTACTAAAATTATAAAAAATACAGATAGATACAAATAATTAGTAAAAAATAATTATAAAAATAAAATAATTATATAAAAATTATATATATAGTTATATATAATATATATTATATATAATTATATAAAATAATTATAAAAATTATTAAAAATAGTAATGCAAATAATAACAATAATAAAAATTTACTAAAATTATAAAAATAAAAATAGTAATATAAATAATTATAAAAATAATTATGAAAATAAAATAATTATATATAAATAATTATATCTATATATAATATAGATATAACTATATGCAAATAATTATAAAAATTATTAAACTAGTAATATAGATAATAGTAATAATGAAATTATTACTAAAAATAGTAATAATAATAGTAATATTATTACAATTAGAGTAATAATAATTTGTACAATTGGATTAGGACAATATGAGACAATAAAGACAAAGAATTACAGACATCCAGGTACCTTTTCTGGGCAGCACAAGCCCGAAAAAGGACCCCGTTAACAAAGGATTAACCCTTAAAAACAACAACCTGTTGCATATTCATACACTTCACACATGATGCATCAATTCCATTCAAACACAGGATTCTGTCTGGTCATCGTCAACTTCTTCCTTCTAATCCTAACAGCGCCTTCCAGGCGGGAAGAAGTTCGTTTCTTCTGATAAGAGGGCAATAAATTCTTTTTCTCTAAAAAATTCAGGTGTCCTGGGGCTGCTATCTGGTGCAAGTGTCTCATTCCTTTCTTTAAAACATCTCACTAACATAGTTCTTATTTTAACTACAAAAGTTACCTTTTAATTACAAGACTACATTTATCATATTATTGAAATGTTAATGCAGCACTACTAATCAATACATCAAAATAGATATGGTAAATATCTGAGTAGAGCCATACAATATGCACTTTTCACAAGATCATCCTTGTCTTCCACCTGGACATGCCAAAGAGAGCTGGAAACCACCCCAACCTTCTCCCTGCCACGGGATTGTGATTAAACCCTTGGAAATGCAAAGCACAGCTCACTGGTGTGTGGCCACACTGGAGACACAAAACTGTCCCCGAGCACAGCAGGGGAGGACCCCCAGAGGAGGCTCTGCAAGATGACAAACCCATTGTCTGACAGGATCTGAGCTTGACAATAAATGCAAGGAACTCCTCAGAAGCTCCTTAAAGGGTTTTTAAGCTTCCATGTGATGTATGAGTTTGCACTGAACAAGAGATGATGGGGCCATGGGCCCCAGGCCACTGCTTGGTGTGATGAGCCAGGAGGGTGCAGTGCCTGCCTTTCCCTCCCACTGCCTTGAGGGTTGGACTTGATCATCTTAACAATCTTCTCCAACCTTAACAATTCCGTGATACCCTACATCTCATGGCTACTGCCAATTTTTGGGGGTAAAAGTCATGGAGAACCCACGGAAAACAATTGACAGCTGCCTGCCCCTCCCAGCTGGAGATGCTGCTTCCTTCACAGAATTGTGGAATGGTTTGGGCTGTAAGTGACCTTAGAGACCACCCAGTTCCAGTCCCCTGCCATGGGAAGGGAAGCTCCCAGTAGCTGGAAGGCTCAGCCCAAGGATGATGGAACCAGCACAGGAATGTCACCAGCAGAAGCCACAGGGCCTCCCTGGGGACTCCCACCCAACCTGGCAATGTGCTGTCTCAGCCAACTGAACCATTTAATGTTGTATTTGTTTCCAAGGCAGAATTAATTCCCTACAAGGGCCTTTTTTGTTTGTAAATGACTGCCCTGGGAGTGCCAAGAGCTCAGATTGTTTTAATCACTGGAGCCGGCCTGCTTGGGCTGCGCCTGCGAGCGGAGGAGGCTCATTCAAGAGAGAGCAGTGACCCAGGGCAGGGCCAGCAGCCAGGCCCAGCCCAGCCCGGCCCGGCCCGGCCCGGTCCAGCCCAGCCCAGCCCCGCCCAGCTCAGCCCAGCTCGGCCCAGCCCGGCCCAGCCCAGCCCAGCCTTGCCCAGCCCTTCCCGGCCCAGCCCAGCCCAGCCCAGCTCAGCTCAGCCTGGCCCACCTCAGCTCAGCCCAGCTCAGCTCAGCTCAGCCTGGCCCAGCCCAGCCCAGCCCAGCAGAGCCCTCCTGGCAGGGACTGCCCCGAGGGGCTGAAAGGAAGAGCCCTGAGGAACCCCCAGATCCTGTGCAGGCATGGAAAAGTAAAATCTGGGATGTTCCTCCTGTTCTGGCAAACACCTCAGTGCCAGCACACAGGTCTCGGGGGTTTTGTGTCACCTCTTAGTGACATCCTGGAGCAAAGGCAGCTCAGGGGGCCCTTGTGGCTCTGCACAGCTCCTGCCAGGAGGGCACAGCCGGGGGGATTTGGGATCTTATCCCAGGGAACAGGGACAGGAGCAGAGGGAACGGCCCCAGGGGAGCTCAGGGTGAGCACTGGGGACATTCCTACATGGAAAGGGCAGGGCTGGTGTCCCCATCCCTGAGGGGATTTCACAGCCCTGTGGCTGTGGCACTTGGGGACATGGGGCAGTAGTGGCCTTAGCAGTGCTAAGGGAGCAGCTGGACTCCATGATCTGGAGGGCTTTCCCAGCCTGACCAATTCCACATTGCTGGTTCCACATTCCTGGAACTGGAATCAGCAACTCCCCAGTCCCTGTCTGTGTGCTGGGTCAGCAATCAGTTAACAGAGCTGCAAGGCAGTCTCAGCAGCCCCCTGCAAGCAAAGGAAGGGGAGCAGGGCAGGGGGATTATCCCTGATCCTCTTACCAGAGCGCTCGGTGGACAGGCTGCCCTGCCTGCTGGGGGACCGGGGCACGTCGGGCACGGGCGCTGCCAGGCTCAGGCTGGCAGAGGAGATGGTGCTGTCCGAGCCCAGGGACGTGCTGGACTGCGTCAGCGACGAGCGGCGCAGCTTGTTCTTCAGGAAGAAACCCTTCAGCTTGGACTTCTTGCCCCCCAGCTCCAAGTCATCCTCCATGTCCAGGGCTGCCATGCTGCTGGGGATGATGGCAGAGGCCGACTCCAGGTCGTACTTCTTCTTGCCTGTCACCTTGTCCTTGAGCTTGCCGAAGGGCGAGCGCGCCTTGTCCTTCACGGACAGGTCGAACATGCTGGCGGTCAGGCTGTGCCTGGTGAACTGCAGGCTCACCAGGATCTCACCACGCTCCTTCTCCTTCTTCCCAGCCTTGGAGTGCAGCTTGTGCCACCTGCAGCCACAGGGGACACACAAGGGAAGGGCTCTGTCACCTCCCAGAGCCACAAGCCAGCAGAACTTGGAGCAGAGGAAGCACCAGTGTAGCTATGACATTTTCTGAAAAATCCTTTCCTTAGGATTTTTTCTCCTGAGAAGCTGAGAGGCCTCAGGAACAAAATGTACCCAATGGTTATCTGCTGCTGTGGAATGCAACAGGTGCATCTGGGATTGGCCCATGTTGGATGTTTGTAATTAATGGCCAATCACAGCCAGATGTCTGGACTGTCTCAGTCAGTCACAAACCTTTGTTATCATTCCTTTTCTATTCTTAGCCAGCCTTCTGATGAAATCCTTTCTTCTATCCTTTTAGTACAGTTTTAATATAATATATATCACAAAATAATAAATCAGCCTTCTGAAACATGGAGTCAGATCCTCATCTCTTCCCTCATCCTGGGACCCCTGTGAACACCACCACACACCAGGGACATCTAGCACGAGTTTCTCCAGGGAAAGGGTTGGAAAACTTTGCAAATACCCAGGGAGGTTTGGAGTCCCCATCCCTGGAGGTGTCCCAGGAATGCCTGGATGTGGCACTCAGTGCTTTGGGCATTGGGGATTGGATTCAATGATCCAGGAGGGCTTTTCCAACCTCAGTGATGCTGGGATTCTAACCCAAGTGTCCCAGGTATCACCTAAAGCCAAGTCAGAGACACAAACACCCCACACAGAGCTGACACAGGACCTGAGCCCTCCCTGGTGCACCTGGGACATGGCACACAGGACCTGAGCCCTCCCTGGTGCACCTGGGACATGGCACATGGGACCTGAGCCCTCCCTGGTGCACCTGGGACATGGCACATGGGACCTGAGCCCTCCCTGGTGCACCTGGGACATGGCACACGGGACCTGAGCCCTCCCTGGTGCACCTGGGACATGGCACACAGGACCTGAGCCCTCCCTGGTGCACCTGGGGCGTGGCACATGGGACCTGAGCCCTCCCTGGTGCACCTGGGACACAGCACACAGGACCTGAGCCCTCCCTGGTGCACCTGGGACACGGCACACAGGACCTGAGCCCTCCCTGGTGCACCTGGGACATGGCACACGGGACCTGAGCCCTCCCTGGTGCACCTGGGACATGGCACACAGGACCTGAGCCCTCCCTGGTGCAGCTGGGAGGTGGCACATGGGACCTGAGCCCTCCCTGGTGCACCTGGGACATGGCACACAGGACCTGAGCCCTCCCTGGTGCACCTGCAGCCCCAGGTCCATCCCCCTCCTCACAACAAACGCTGCCCTTCCACTGAGTAGCCTGGAAAGCAGCAGCTCACTGAGCCCTCCAGGCAGCACTGGGACTCTGCAGGCAAAGCTGGGAGCTGTTTGGAAGGAGACAAAGCCACCAGCGTTTTGTGCTCGTGATTGGAATGCCCCAGAGCCAGTGACTCAGGGATCCTCCCAGCAGAGACTGAGCCACAATGGCAAAGGAACTCAACAGCATCCACTGAATCAGCTCCTGCCAGAGCTGCTGTGTCTCACTCCAGCAAAGATGCTCACTCAGGGTTGCCTGCAAGTGTCCTTGGATCAATGCTTTAAAGGGTGATGCATGCCAGGAGTTCTCTGGGGCAGCAGCAGCTGCTGAGCAGCTCCAGCCCCACCCAAGACAAGGCCACCCTTCCCAGGCTGCTGATCTGGGGGCAATCCCCACATTCCCACAGCAGCTTCCAGAAGGAGCTATTGGCCATGCCCAGCACAAAGCTCCCACTGATTCCTGAGGATTCCTGGGAATGCTTCCCACTGTCCCACCCCACACAAAACCCCAGACACAGACTTTGCTCCAAAGCTGCCCATGGAACTGGGGGAACGTGGGAAAAGGCTCCAAACCATTCCCTGCACGAGGCAAAACCACCCCCAGCCTCCCTTTAGGTGCTGGTGCCTCCTCAGGAATGGCTGGGAGCTGGCAGGGCATGGAGCAGCCCCTGGAATGGGATGGCAGAGGGGTCTGGACTCCTGCTAGAGGGGGGAACGGTGGCACTGGGGACACCAAAGCAAAGACACACCCAGAGCCACCCCCTGCTCTCCATTCCCCCATTCCAATGGGGCAGCACCAAACACAGGCCACCAGGGAACCGTGCTTCCCTATTCTTCCCCAAAAATCTGCTCCTCCCCAAAAATCACTTCACCCCCCATCTCTCTGCCAGTCCAGGCACCCCTTCCAGGGCACCTGAAGCAGGATGAGCAGGAACCCAGCACAGCCACTGCCCTGATCCCACCCAGATCCAAGTATTAAATGAATTTCTGATTAAAATTCCCCTTAACAAGGCCCAAGGAAAGCTGCAGGCTCAGGACAGATCCTGTTTCTCCAGGCTGTGCTTCCTGGGAGCAATGGGAGGTGAAGACACTCCTGACATGCATGAACAATTCCCCAGAAAATAAAAATCCCACTGGTTCACTCAGTGGAGAGTGAAGCCACTGAGGAGAAAAAAAATAGGGAAGGAAACGGGATGGGATGGGATGGGATAATGGGATGGGATGGGATGGGATGGGATGGGATGGGATGGGATGGGATGGGATGGGATGGGATGGGATGGGATGGGATGGGATGGGATGGGATGGGGTGGAGTGGGATGGGATGGGATGGGATGGGGTGGGATGGGATGGGATGGGATGGGATGGGATGGGATGGGATGGGATGGGATGGGATGGGATGGGATGGGGTGGGATGGGATGGGATGGGATGGGGTGGGATGGGATGGGATGGGATGGGATGGGATGGGATGGGGTGGGATGGGATGGGATGGGATGGGATGGGATGGGATGGGATGGGATGGGGTGGGATGGGATGGGATGGGATAATGGGATGGGATGGGATAATGGGATAATGGGATGGGATAATGGGATGGGATGGGATGGGGTGGAGTGGGATGGGATGGGATGGGATGGGATAATGGGATGGGATGAGATGGGATGGGATGGGATAATGGGATAGGATAATGGGATGGGGTGGGGTGGGAGCAGCAGCAGGTGCATCAGGAGGACACTTCCCCAAGGGACTGGAGGGGAAAAGGCTGCCTGAACATCCCCAGTGCATTCTGCTCTGGAAGCAGCTCAGGAGGGAAGGGCTGCAGCAGCCTGGCAGCTGGGCAGGGAGAGCCTGGGGGGCTGAGTCACTGCTCAGCAAAGACAAAGAGCTCCTGACTGGAGTTTGTGTGCCTGACATCATCCCGTGGAAAAAACCAGGGAGGACCTGGGGGGATTAACACAGGAAAGGCAGGAGCTCCCCTGGAACAGCCTGGGTGTGCTCCCAGCACCCCCAGCCCTGTGAGCATCCAAGGGGATTTGGGGGCTGAGCCTGAGCTGCTCCAAAAAGCAGAACCTCTGCTCCTGCTGGGACTCTGGAGCTATTTCTGGTTCCCAAGACCTCATCAGCACTCGGGGCTGCACCTCTAACAGGCAACAGGGCTATTTTTAGGCTGAGCTCTCAGTTTGTGGCACAGGACGAGGGTTTGGGAGGATCCAGCTGCTCCATGTCGAGTGCTTGGGTTTTTTATGAATCAGCCCCAGAGGAAACAGGAGGTGCAAACTGCTGGGATGGAGCAGGACAGCAGGACCAGGGAGGGAGCAACTCACAAACTCCCACAGCACCTTTCCACCAGGAACCCCCTCCCACAGCCCTGGGTTTCCCAAACTCCTGCAGGAGCTGCCCTGGGGGGATGCTGGGAGGGGTTTCTGGGCTGGGGCCACCCAAGGTCCCATCTTGGAGAGGGACACAATGCTTTTCATGGGAATAGACAACACACCCGGGAAACAACCATGAGATCCCTTTTCCAGGTCTGAAGGAGCAGAACTGGGTTACATCAGTCAGCTCTGGAGCAGGGGAGGGAGGGAGGGAGCTGTGCCAAGCACATCCAGCCCCAGGGATCCAGCAGGATCTGCTTCCTGAGGGGGTGGGAGGCCACAGCTGGGATGCAGCCCCTGGCTGCACAGCACACCCAGGACAAGCCACTCACCCCCAGCCACCCACTCTGGGGACCCTCCCAAGGTCTGGAGGGGTCCCAGCTCCACACAGCCTTGGCAGGTCACAAAACTTCAATTAAAATGCAGTGAAACCCTGTCCCAGAGCCAGAGCTGGTGGGGAGCAGGAGCAGCATTGCTGCAGGTGAGGAGATGTGGCCTGGTCTGTGCTGCTTCCCTGCTCCCTGCAGCTGGGCTGTGCTCCCAGGTGTGTCCTGGTCTGTGCTGCTTCCCTGCTCCCTGCAGCTGGGCTGTGCTCCCAGGTGTGTCCTGGTCTGTGTTCCTTCCCCTGCTCCCTACAGCTGGGCTGTGCTTCCCAGGGATGTCCCTGTCTGTGCTGCTTCCCTGCTCCCTACAGCTGGGATGTGCTTCCAGGTGTGTCCTGGTCTGTGCTGGTTCCCTGCTCCCTGCAGCTGGGATGTGATTCCCAGGGGAGGGAACCTCCTGGATCAGCATCCTCTGCTCCCTGGGGAGCTGCTCCTTTTTGCTCCTTTTCCCCCAGCTCCTGCCCCCTGCCCTGCCAGGGAATGTCCTGCTGACACACTGAGAGCTTGGGGACACCTCCAGGGTGACACATCCATGGGACACCTCCAGGGAATGGGGACACCTCCAGGGTGACACCTGCAGGGCCTGGAGAGCTCAGAGACACCTCCAGGGTAACACCTCCAGGGCATGGAGAGCCCAGGGACACCTCCAGGGTGACACATCCATGGGACACCTCCAGGGAATGGAGGGCCCAGGGACACCTCCAGGGTAACACCTGCAGGGCATGGAGAGCCCAGGGACACCTCCAGGGTGACACATCCATGGGACACCTCCAGGGAATGGGGACACCTCCAGGGTGACACCTCCAGGGCATGGAGAGCCCAGGGACACCTCCAGGGTGACACATCCATGGGACACCTCCAGGGTGACACCTCCAAGGTGTCACAGCCAGGCAGAGCAGCCCCAGCCAGACAGAAGGCACAAGCCACAGGCTGGGACATTCTCTTTGCTGAC